CTTAAAGGTCTAGATTTCTATATGATATGAATCATTGGCACTAAATTGTAGATATTCCTTCTCTGCCCATTCGAGTGATACCTGATAATTTATATACATTACCTCATTTCATCCTTCCAATAATCTTTGGAGGCCAGTATTATGGCTTTTATGAATGAAGAATAAGCCTTGTTCAAGGCCATAAAGTTAGTATTGCAGAATCTAGATTAGCATTTTAACAGATTAGGGAGGTTGAGTCTAGGGTATATGTTTGTGTGTATGTGTGTGTTACTTATGATTGAACCAGTGCCTTGTACTTGCTAGGTAAAATACTCTGTCACTAAACTACATTCCTAGCTTTTTGAAAATTTTTTATTTTTAAAACAAGGTTGCCTGGGGTGGCTTCTTTACCTTGGAGTCCTCCTGTCTCAGCCTTCCACTACCTGTCATCGTGAGCATGTCCTGCCACACCTAGCAACTCTGTTTTATTATTCCATCCATGTTACCTCTAAAGAGGATTTCAGCCTTTCCACAGTGTTTCATTGATCTACCAGTATAATGGTCTGAAAGTTGAGAAAGAACAACAAAGAATCTGATGTTCTTTCTGAAGTATTTGGCTCCAGACAGTTAGTTGGTAGATGCCAATCCTTGGTAGAAAAGTAACTGCAAAAATAGGTTATGAACACGAAGTGTTCATTTTACTTATCCCTCAAATTAAGTGACAAAAATAATTTGTTTGCCAAATAGTTTTTATAAGCAAATAACCCTTTCTTTAATTCACTGTGCTACAGAAAGGTTTGAGATGGCCATGCTTCAAAGCTATTCCAAGGGCAGAAGCCACACACATTCGGGAAATTGAAAATGTGACTGTGTAAGGTCAGATTCCTGAGTGTGGTGCTCAGTTGCCTACTTTTAGGTAGAACATACATGTTTAATGAGGGTTGTATTACTAAATTTAAAAGAAAGAACAGCTGGATGATAACAAGCAGCCTGTCGTGAGTCTATAGAGCAGTAATTCTTCTTGGTTTGTAGTTTTGCCCATGGAGCACATCTTGGCACTGTCTGGATGGTGTGGGTTGCACACTGGGAGGAGAGGGACTCTTGGCATTTGGTGGGTAGAGGCCAGGGGTGCTGCCAGCCATCCTACAGTGCACAGGAGAGTCCCCCTCTACAAAGCATGTTGGACTCAAGATGACAGTGGCCTGCAGAGTAAGAGAGATTGCTATAGACCCCCCACTGACCAACGTCACGTGCAGTAAGAGAGCCAGCATTTAGTGAGAAAGCACCAACTGCTTAGCATTGAGGGTTAAATGATAATGACAGCTAGTGACTGTGCCATAGCAGAGGAGGTAGACGAGGCAAGTAACCATTCCAAGCTCCCAAACCAAGTGTCCCTGCACAGACAGCACTTGGAGTAAGAGACAAAGAGTATTTGCACATGTAGATTATCCAGATTTGACTGAGCATGAATTGACCACAGCTCTAAGCCAGATTCAAGAAAAAAGGAAATAGATCCCACCTTTAAATGAGAAACATGGCAAAGTTTGTGGTTTTCTTTCAAATACCACAAGCACTGAACAGTATCTGGTACACATTAAGTGTCTAGTACATGTTCCCATCGTTGGTACCATTATTTTATCTTTCAAAACAGTGTGACCCATGCCATGTAGGATTCTGTCCACCAGCAAAACTTCTCTGAAGTGGATAGATGAATGGATGAAAGGAAGGAAGAAAATGACATCTCTCTTAATTCAGGCATCCAGCCAAATATCAACTTATCAGAATAGCTCTCCTCAATTATCCTGTATGATGTATCACCCACACCACCATCACCACATCTCCATCAACTTTCTCATCTACTCTGGACTTATTCCTGTTTGTAGTGCGTGTCACTACTTGTGCCTGTCTTGTTAGAACAAGGTATTTATTTTGTTTACTGTCATATTCTTAGCATTCACGGCATGTGACACATAATATTTAATGCACGTATTTCATACTAACAAATATATAAATGAACAACTATAAATGGAACTCATTCTTCCCAAGGTGTTTTTATCACTTGTGACAGGATATTGTACATTAAAGGTAATATACTCTTTTTTTTTTTTTTTTTTTTTTTTTTTTTTTTTTTTTTTTTTTGGTCTTTTTCCTTTTTATCAGTACCGGGGATTGAACTTACGACTGCCTGCTTGCAAGGCAGGCGCTTATGCCACTGAGCTAAATCCCCAGCCCCAAAGGTAATATACTGTATTCCAAAATTATCTCTACTACAGTGTTGTGGTACAGTATTCGTACTCCACTGTTATCCATTATGTGTCTCCTTGAGTTCGACGTGGGAGTTGCCCATCCGCGTGTGTCCTAGGAATCAGACACAATGCTAAATTTCTTGCCAGTGATGTGTTCTGAATTAGAAAGCATCTTCTGTTGTTTTCTTCTGCTTTGCAGTTAATACATTTTACAGTACTGTATGTGTAATGTAACCTTATAAATGTGTGATGATTAAATTGGACGACAGGGCTCTCTGCAATCCAGTTTTTCAGGGTCTTTTGCCTTGTTTTTACTAGGGGAGCATAGAGACCATGTTGACTGTGATGTCTACCTAATCATGCTTGCCTTACTACAATCTTAGCAAATAGTAATTTTCCTGCTTTTTAGGAAGATAATCCCAGGATTGAGAATCTTCTTTTGCTTCCATTCAAAAGGAGAGCATATCATATGGGTGAAAATTCAAGGGAGAGAATTTCAGACTTTTAATATAAAGCAGGGTGTTCGAAAAGATGGCAGAGTGGAGCTTGGTCACAATGTTGGCTGATCTGTTACTGCCTTGGAAGTATGTTACTACTACTTGGTTTTATTCGTGAATAATGTCTTGAAATAGTTGAATAGAAAAGCGTTACCCCAAAATAGGAGTGTGTATTCCTGAGACTGGTTAGGGATGTAGTTTAAAGACCCAAAACAAGTAGCCAGTGGTTGAGAGGTTAGTTCTGTGATTCAAACTGGTATCAGTTTAGTCCCATTGTTTCCCCTAGGGCTGCCCAACTTAAGACTAACTTGTATACTTGTTAGCGATGTGTTTATTTTGCAGTTTCATTGGGACCTTTTAATTAGCTTTAATGCTGTCCTGGGTAAAGTAAAAACTTAATCTTATCTCTTGTAAGGGCTTTTCTAGTTCGCCACCCTAAAAGTAGAAAAAACAGCTGTGAGCACTGCTTCTTCTAAACTATGCTTTTATGAAATTCATTTCAATAATCCTCTCATTCTTCATCTGTACTACATATTTGAACCATAAAATAAAACTTGTACCCAAATGAAATTTCCAAGTTATTTTAATGAAGCTCTTGAAATACAGAAACCTCAGAAGATATTTTTTTCCTAGTTTTGTCATTTAAATTTTATAAAGCAGATTGGTAGAAATACTCTAATTGGTTTAATTAGAAATGGGAAAGCATAGAATTATAATTATACTGGGGTTAATATGTTTTAGAGGTTTGATTTGAATAAAGTGCATTTAATTGGACCTTATGGTTTCTTCTAGAAAAGATTTTTATATGGAAGGACACCTGTGTGTTAGAATACACCAACAAACCTGGGGAAGTTTTGCCATGGAATTCACACTTGACAAGGAAGTCACTTTAAAGCTGCATTCTCTAATTATGCCTATGAATATTTTCTACAGATGTGCTGTGAGGGGGAAGTATTCCATTATCAAGCAGATTTAAGGAATACTACGTTAAATATAAGAAGTTGCCTGCAGGACTTTTCAGAGCTTTTCTTTCTTTCTCAGTTTCTAAGAAAGGGCATTGGTGTAGTGCATTACCTTTCTAACTTACTCCTTCCTAGGCCACCATTTTTCAGGGAAATCTCAGTATACAAAATAGCTGGTTTTAGGGCTCATACCTTTGAGAAGTTGCGAAATTGTTTTTCATTATAGTGATGATGTGATGCCACTCACAGAAGTTGCTTATTCCCAAATTCTTAGCTTTAGCATGGTTCTCAGTGTGTGCCCTAACTAAGCTTATGTCCAGCACTCCGCTGAGTGCCTTCCTCTGGCTGTTGTGTAGTAGTTTCTGTGTGTGGTGCACATTAGAAGTACCTGGCCCTGGGTAGAAACATTCCTGTGCTCAGGTTCTGCATTTATTACAAATACTTGGGTGATTCTGATGTGCCGACAGCGTTTCTGCCACTGGTGCTTTGAACTACCATTTTCTGAGTGATGGATATGCAGTTAGTTTGCGCACTGTCTAGAACACATGGCTTGGCCATCCATACTGCATAGAACCGCAGCACTGACTTCTGGGGATTCCTTGAGGTGATGTGGAACAATTGCTTGTATCATATAAGATAAATGAACTTCTCTGAAGTGTGCTTCCAGGCACCTTTCTAATAGGGAAATACAGTAAAAAGATTGTTTTGTTTTTATTTAGTTTTGAGTAATTCGCTTGCAGATGGAATTTTAATTGTAAATTGAAAAGAAACTGGATTATATTTAAAAGAAGGATGAATAACCGTGGTAAATACTGTATAGAAATCGACCCAGGTGAACCCTATGGATACTACTGACGGTCACAGATTACTGGCTTTCTTTGCAGAGAAAAGAAGTGGAAGCCAGACTATAGTGGCTAACGAGGGAATGCACTGTGAGAGCCAAGACATTTACTTGACTTCGGTGGTAATAGGAGAGAGAATCCTGCCGTTGCTGCTGTTCTTATCATTTGTTTATTTCAGAGCCCCTAGTTATCTCAGTGAGACTGGAAATTCCTCAAGATCTCGGTCTGTCTGAGCCTTACAGTGCACAGTACTGCCTTGGAATGTGTGAGGCTGTCGCTGGCTTTAAGTTAAATTCATGACTGTGAATGAAGTTCTAAGACAGCTAGTGTGGGACTAACACATACAGAATAGCGAAGTAGACAACTTGGGCTTGAAACACGCTGTCTCTGTGCCCACCAGAGAAAGTGCCTGTCTCTGTCCTTGACAGCCTCAGCGTTCTATTGACAGCCCTGCCTTTGGCCTTTTTTTTACAGCTATGAAACCTACATAGTTAAAGCAGCAGGATGCTTCTCCTGTCGGATGTGTGATGAGGAGAAGAGCTTGGCCTTGGAGTGCTGGGAACCTGAGCAGCTGCTGAGGACTCGGACCCCAGCCTTGACCACCCGTGCGCCCACAACACAATGAACAAACTGAACTTCCATAACAACAGAGTCATGCAAGACCGCCGGAGTGTGTGTATTTTCCTTCCCAATGATGAGTCTCTGAATATCATCATAAATGTGAGCACACCCACTTTTGAAATGTCTAAATAGTGCATTCCTGGCAGCAACTGTTTGAAGCTACTATTGCTCTCAGTAGAAATCCTTAGACTCAGCAGTGAGAATAGGGCAGAACAGAGGTGCTGGTCTGCACAGACGTCACTTAGCTTGAAGGTTTCAGCGCAGTTGCCTTCACCGTTGTCTTACCTGGTGTAAAATTAGAGAATTTTGATTACTAAATTAGAAACAAATACTTGGGATTTTAAACTTTTTATCTGGGTATACTTTTACTGACATCTGCATTCGTGTTTGAAATGCTGATGGTTGTCACCCACCCACAGAAAGGGTAGCAGTTGCTAGCTTTTAATATACACCTTGCTTGTTTTTAATAATAGCTGAAATCTAACCAGTTTCAGCACTTTTGAGCACTAAGTTGTTACTGATGGTTCATGAGTCAGAGTCAACTAACTTACTTGGTTAACTTGGACATTGAAGAACACGATCCATTTTTAACTTTAAAAATGAGTCATAATTTACATCCTACAAAGTACCGAGGTCTTAGTGAATTTTTACCACTGTATTCACCAGGTAACCATTGCCTTAGTTTGAGGTATAAAGTTTCAGCACCCTTATTCAGTAACCTTTGCCCAAAGGGTGATGACTGTGCTAACAACAGAGAGCAACTTTGCTTGTTTCTGACCTGCACGTGGCTGAAATTATGTAACATGTTTTCTTCGTGTTTGGCTTCTTTCGCCCGGCATTTGGCCTGTGAAGTTCATCCATGCTGTTGCATGTGACAGGAATTTGGTTTTCCTTTCATTAGTGTTTAATAGCCCATGGTATTAACATGCCGAATTTAGTTATCTATCCATTGTTGATGGACATCAAGTGTGTTTTAAGTTTTGAACTATTATGAATAAAACTGTAAAAAAGTGTGTGTGTGTATATATAAATGCACACATTTCTGTTTCTATCCCCATTGGATGTGAATTACAGAGTTACAATATGTAATCTTAGTACTGAGTGCCAAGCAATTGTTTGGTGATCAATATCATACCTAGCATTTTTCAACACCTCCCCCTACTATCAACTTCTGTGTTTTTTCTTTCACTTAATTGTATTCTAATGGAATACAAGGGAGGACATTTGCCTCAGAGCCATGACTTTAGGTAGTTTTTTCCCTTGTATATATTACTATATTTTTAATTCAGTTGCCAGATAAAATAGTTTTTATAAATGTTTTATAAGTTTTATGGCATTTGAATAGCTTCATTAAATAGTTTAGATAGAAAAATTTTCTGCTTATAAGCATAATCATTTTAGTTTTACTAACAATCAATAATTTCTTGATCATCTCATATAACCTTATGTGTACCTGTGGGAATTATCTGAGCATGAATTGCTTATGGCGTGGGTTGCATCTGTTGGGCAGAAGGTGTAATGAGTTACATGCCTACTTAGGGTACTTGTTTCATGATATGTGAAGTAAAAACTTATTTTTGCAGCATTTGTTTCTTTAATCTTAATAATAAAAATAGGCAGCATTTCAGTGTAGGCCCTGGAAAAATATATTGAAAATGTAATTCTGTATACATGAATGTGCTGAGTTCTTATATACAGTTTACATAAAAGATGTTTGTTAAGTAAAAATATACAAAAACAAAGACATACAGCATAGGCTCTTAACAAACTTCTTTCACTTGTTTCTTTTTATCTAGTAAAATATGTGTATGTGTCTTTGTGTGTATATACATGCATATATACATAGATACCTACAAGCTATGAAACAAAATTCAGATTTTAGTTCAGTGGAGAAGACTAATCTGATTTAGTGAAGGATAATAAGAGGTGACTAGAATTTCCAAAGAAAGTTACACTAGAATTGCTTGAAAAGCAGACTAAAACATAGCCAGTTCACTTGTTCCCATAGCTCCATGATTTCGAAACTTCAGTGTACATAGAATTATTTGGAAAGCTTACTAGATATTCAAATTATTGGGGTTTACTCCTTGAAAGTGGTGACGTAGGAAGCTTTGGATAAGACGCAGGAATCTGCATTTAACAAGACTGTTCCTGTGGTTCCCGTTCCATCTTAAGCTAATCAGGCACAGACCTGTACCCCAGCGCCTCCTGGTCTCTCCTCTCTAGAACTCTGTTTACTAGATTGACATGCTTGGTCGGTAAGGCCTTCTAACAGTACATGATGTGTAATAAGCACAAACAAAATGCTTGTTATTAGGAGTAATCTAATTAACCACAGTGTTGTTAAGAAACGTTCTGAGGTTATTAATATTTTAACTCTATAGTTTACAGGATTTGTGAACTTTGCACAAGGTACTTAAGCTCACTACCTTCTCCACTTGTCAGAGTAACTTTTCCAGGACCTGGTACTTAGTAGGCGCTCATTTGTATAGCCTTCCTTTCTACATTTGTGAAAATATTTTTATATGCTCGGAACATACAGACCAAATTCAGATCCTATGACTGACTTTAGACCGTTTATGAAGCCTCTCTCAGCCTCTGCACCTGTATCCATCAAATAAGAACAGAGCTTTGGGTACAAGGTGATGGTGAGAATTCAGGGTTAACACAGAGCAGAATTTCTGGCACATAGATGGCAGCTGATGTTACTACAGATTGAACGTCCCTAATCCAAAAGTCCAAATTTGGAAAGTGTAAATTTGGACTAGGGGTGTTCAACTAGTAAAGTCTATGCAAATTTTCCAGAATCTGAAAAGCTTTGAAATCTGAAACACTTCTGATCCTAAGTTTTGTTTAAGACAGGGTCTCACTGTGTAGTACAGATCAGCATTGAACTCACTAGGTAGCCCAGGCAGGCCTTGAACGCACATCACCTCTCCTGCCTCAGGTGTCATGCCGTTTTTTGTTGTTGTTTTTTGAGACAGGATCTCATTATGTTAGTTAAGGCTGATCTGGACTCACAGTGATCCTCCTGCGTCAGCCTCCCAAATGCTGGGGGTTACAACCATGCCTGGCTGACCCCAGGTATTTTGGATCCAGGTTATTCAACCTGAATTTTAATACATAAGCAGAAATAAATTTTATACTTCCTTAATGCCCTATAAAATTAATGTAATAACCTCTCTGATGTAGTCAGAAGTATGATCACATACTGTGAAGCCCTGTAGGAATAAGGTGGTTTCTAGAGTCACCAGGACCTGGGTTGCAGTGCCCATGCCTCAGCTTCCTGTGCAGTTTTGGGTTTGTGTCTTAGGGTTTGGCTTGGTTCCGCAATGAAGTGGGGATGATATTATGCTTCTCACGGAACGTTGCTAGGACTTAAGGGTGTTACCTGCATAGTGCCTGGTGCACAGTGAGTCCCTAGCATTTTACTGTATTTCTTTGAGCAGTTTGTCATTTCACTCGCAGGCTCTATCACTGAAACCAAGAGTCTGAACCCCCTCTCCAGCAAGCGCTTGGACTCAGGGAGGGACAGCAGTATGGAGGCTTTCCCCTGCTGCAGAAATGAGTCAAGGCTGCCAAGCCTCACTCTTTTTCTACAATGTACTATCTTTGTAGTCAGAAAATAGCAATTGGTGTTTGCAGAGTTCAGTGTAACTGATTACAGCAGAAACTATTTCATCCATAATGTTTTCATCATTTGTACATTTTTTCTTTTAAACAGAGAAAGTTTGTTCCCTGGTAAATATAATTGATAGAATGTTGCCTTTCTGCATGTGGAATAGGTTTAGTGCTTTGATCATTTTGAATTCTCCAAGAGTTATACTCAGAGGGACTATTTTAAATGACTCTATTCATCAGGCAAATATTTAATATAGGATACTTGTAAAATTTGAAAATAAAATAATGGTAAATAAAAGAACCATAAAGTTTTGACTGAAAGACATTATGGCCAAGAATTTATATATTCACTAAGACTACTAGAGTGGGCAATTTTTCTTCTAGAAAATGTTTCAAACATTCCTGCTCAATAACAAGCCATAGACACATTTAGAATTAAGTGTTTTAAAGTTCCACATAGAGTGCATTTTTAGATAAAGCTTTAACTCTTACTGTTAATACTTCATACTGTGTAGTACTATTTAAATTTCCCATTGCTTCTGAAGATTAAGGAAGTTGAGAAATTTCACAATCAGTTAAAATGTAGTTTTAAAGACTCATACTATGCAAATACAAAAAGTTCAAGCTTATTTTCCCAGCAGGTAAGACTTAAAAGCCACATCCTTATTTAATTATAGTTTTTAAACAAGAATATTGTACTTACTTAGTGGTTGTTAAAGAGCTTTATCAGTAGGCTGCAAATACTTGATTTAAACTAGTGGAACAATAATAATTATATGGGATACATAGAAGAAATGTACAACATTATTTGGTCAAAGTTACACAAAGTTACAACAGTTCATTTTATATACAATTAGTTTGTGGTTTGGAATTTCAATTTTAACTGTTGTTACATTTCATCCTGCCTGCTTTGTGCCCAAGTAGGTCAACTTGAGGATTAAATATAGTCAAACCAAGGATTAAAAGTACTCTAGAAAAATACAGTATTTTAAGTCTCAAATTTGTAGTGTTTAGTTCAATTTAAGACTTGTCTATAACATATGATACTTACTACCTTTTCTATCATTCTAAGTTAATTCATAAACTAGAATTATGGCGGAACTCAAAATCCAGAGTCCTTTTAGCAAATGTTGGAAAGAACATAGTTCTTTTTTGTGAAAGAAATGAAAAATTTCAAGTGGGTTGAATCAAGGTAGCTGTACATAGGGTTAATAGTGATTTTTCATGAGCAAACAAACGTGTTCTCCCAGTGGTGTTGGTAGGATTACACTGCTATATTTTCCCTAAATTGCTAAATTGTAAAATGGTTCCTTCAGCAAGTTAAAGAGAAGTTTGTAGTCATGGACAGAAAGATGATATGAAGAGTACACAAAGAATCACTCATCAGACATTTACTAAGAACATAGTACATGTCCTGAATATAAAATAAGATGCTGTCTTCACTTCATCGAATCCCCAGTTCTTCTTAAGCAACTGTGTATGTGCCTTAAAATGTCTTTTGGTCTTTCCAGTGATTAAGGTGCTTCCGGTTAGTGGCCAATTGGTAATGAACATGGAAATGAACAGTAAACCCATCTTTTCACTATGACTAGAATTATTGCTAGTTCAGTTTTAAGGGATCTTTGCTTGGTTTTTTATTTTCTTAATCGAAGTTACATATTAAGGTATGGTAAAAAAAAATCATTAATTCAGAGTTAACTAATTTAGAATTTATAATATTTGAACAATAATTGGCATCATCATTGAAGAAAGGATTAGGAGACTAATAATGTATAGGAGAGGAGAAATAATATGTGTGTAGCCAAAATTACAAATCATGTTGCACAGAGTATGCAGATATTTTAATATACAGATGTTGTGAGTTGCCTTCACTGTTACTAACTGCCTGGCTTTAGGCTGAGTTGTATTTTATACTTCTTCGTATTTTACCCTTATATAAATGGAATTGATCCCTTAGAGTCGGTCACAATAAACTGTTAATAAACTTCAGTGACTTTGAATGCAAGGAGCCTCCTCCACTCAGCACTTCATTAACACTTGGGAAAGCATCAAAACTGTCCTTGTCACTCAGAGTAACATCTCCTGAGTCCCAAGTTAATACGGTTTTATGATTGAATGATAGTAGGACTCAGGAAAGGGAAAGAGATACTACATGATAGCAGTGAGTGGTTATTGGTTGATTTCTGGATAATAGCCATTGAAATCATACTTGTAAGTGAAATAAATCAGGCACACATGTTCAAATGTTGTGTGGTTTCTCTGGGGTGAGGAACCAAAAGTGTAAAAAAGGACCAAATTATACAGTAAGTATTGAGAGACAGGAAGAAAGTGTTCAGATGAGAAGGGGAACAAGGGAAGGGGGAGAAGGGAAGGGAAAATGGGACAAGAAAAAAAATAATAGAAGGAAAAGGTAGGAATAAAGCTTTTGTAGATAATGGGAGGAGGTGGTGGGAAGGAGGAGAAAGGAAATGGAGAAAGAGAAGAAGCAGGACATATCATGTACAGGTACAGACTCCCTATGATGAGTGTTATCGTTGTGTGTCTCTAAAGTGTACCAATAAAATAAAAAACAGTGATTGATTAAAATAAATAAAAGCTAGGCAGTCACAATTCTGCAGTATGTGATTATTTTGCTTTGATCACTGACAAAATGTTTCTTGAAAAGACTATTGCCCTGAACTTTCTCAAAAGAAGACATACAGATGGCCAGTAGATACATGAAAAAGTGCATAGCACAACCAAACTGGAGGGAAATACAAATTAAAACCACAATAAACTATCACCTCATACCTATTCTAATGGCTGTTAACAAAAAGAGAATAGGATGCTATTCAGCCAAGAAAAGATGGAAATCCTGCTGTTTGCAACAGTGTGGATGAACCTGAAATGAAATAAACGGGACACAGAAAGATAAATACTACACAATCTCATTTGACCATGTAATCCCCAGGAACAGAGAGTTACAATTATATTTACCAGAGCCTAGGAATGGACAGAAATTGGGGAAATGCTGGTCAGAGGATACAAAATTTCAGTAACAGGAAGAATTAGGTTCAAGAACTCTGTTGTGCAACATAGTGAATATAATTCATAATAATGTAAGCTTTAAAATCGCTGAAACTAGATTTTTAGTGTTTTACCACAAACATTTGATATGCGTGTGAGGTGTTACATATGTAATTGTCCATTCTGTAGTGGGTATCTATATTATGTAATGTAAACAGCGTGCTATACACTGTAGTATATACAGTTTTTATTTATCAGCTTAAATCTTTTTAGAAAAGGCCAGATGGATACTTCTATAATCACAGCAGATTGTTCCAGGTACCTTCTGAAATACCCATTTTTCATATCGATGATTGCAGAGTCTTATTTGAATGTCATAAGATTTATGAGTCTTGTGCAAGATCGAATTGGGACATTATTACTGTGTTGTAAAAATTGATATTGTGATAATCATTATTGAAGCACAACCACAGATAAAAGTGATTTCCATAAATCAACATTAGTTTTGCTATGTCAGCTTATTCTATCAAGATGTCTGTTTACAGGGCATTACATTGCCCAGTTGTGGCTCACCATGTATACTTAATTTGTTACCAAATTGTGTTTTTTTCTCCTTTACAGGTTAAAATTCTGTGTCAACAGTTGCTGGTCCAGGTGTGTGACCTGCTCAGGCTAAAGGATGGCCACCTCTTTGGCCTCAGTGTTATACAAAGTAAGTCTTAGTACCTTATCTATTGAATTTAGCCAGCTATCTCTGAAGAAGTGATGATTTTATAAGCTTAGATTCAGCACTCTTGTAAAGCTGTGATTGTCAAAATACACATAAATTGATCTTCATTTTTAGTCTGGTATCTAGCTTTTAATCCAAATGCTATGTGTTTCTTATAAGATTTAGGGCTTTAGTTCATGCATTTATTATATTTTGAACTTAAAAATTTGATCCTCTTTAGGAAACTAGATTTTAATGCACTTTTTTTAATACTTTAATGAACTAAATGATTTTTGTTTCTTTGTATTCAAAGGATAGCTGAAACTATATAGTTTTTATTTTGTTTTGGTTTTTTGGACCCAGGATCAAAGCCACGGCCTTGCACTTGCCAGGCAGGTGCTTGTGCCACTGAACTATATAATTTGTAATGTTTGATGTTATAAAATAATTTGAAGATAAAAACTCCTCTATTCAAGTCTCTTGCTATTAACAACACAGTGTAATGCTGATTTTATTTTCTGTTTCTCTTTCTACAATTCAGACGATATGACTAGGAAATATAGGCTCATTGTCTTTATTCTATACGTGAAGAAATTTCCATGGAAAGAATGCAATATAAGCTTTCTTCTCCATAATACCTTAGATTTAAATTCTCAGGACTTATCTCTGGTCATTTTTTATGAGCTTTTTTCTTTCAAATCATGTTTTTAAAATTTCTCTAATTTAGTCTTCTGTATGCCAAAAGACTCGTAGGTTTGCTCACTTTATCAAGTTTTTTGTGAAATGTATTTATTATATTTTGTACCAGAGTGAGGATTATTTTCTGTTGCTGGAATTGGTTTAAGATGTCTGGAGAATCTGATCACTAGCGTAAAACGCTTATATCCAGCAGGTTGAGAAGTGGGTCATGCTGAACTGATCAGTCAGGCCTCCTCTCTCTCAAGTGTGAGCTATTTTCAGTTACTCTTCTAAGAGAGGCCACAGAGCCTGTGAGGGACACACACTTCAGGGCCCAGTTTATCCCTGTGGTAGGAAGCAGTGAAAGTACCGCTCCATCCTTGTCCGTACCCGTATCTTCTGGGGACAAGTCAAGCCGCCATCAGAAGCCCCGTAGATTCTGAGTAACTTTCATTCATCTATACTCAGAATTAATCCTTCTTACAACAGCCACAGCCAGGTTGTTGATCTTTGTTGTTCAGCAAGTCAGTCCAAGAAAACCAGTTTTATAGCTTCCTCAGCTCTCAAGAGTTTTAAGATGCCCTCTTGAAAGGCTTGCAGTGTGGTGAAAGAACACGGGAGCAGGGCTCAGCCGACCTGGTTCTAATTCTGGTTCCACAGCCGACCGCCAGTGTGGCTTTGGATGCAGCTCTGGATGCAGCTCTCAGCTTCCCTCATGGCCAGTTTTTTCACAAGCCACATGAAAACTACTGCTCTGCCAGCACAGCAGGGTTGATGTGTGCCTGAGGACGTTTTACTTACGCACTGTGGTTTTTAGAGTAGTTTTAGTCCTCAGGAAGTTGAATATGAAATGTAGAAGGTTCCCATGTGCTCACGCACCCCGCTTTCCTATCAGTGTCCTCCTAGAGGACACTGCATGGACACTGTCGGTGTGTATTACAGTCGCGCTCACACTGACAAATTGTCGTCACCCAGAGCACATAGTGTACATTTGAGCTCACAAGCTGATGTGTACTTTCTCTGGGTTCGGAAATACTATGTGATGGCATGTAGCCACAGTGTGGTACACAGAAAGATTTTACTGCCCTAAAAAGTTTACATTTTTAGATCGATACCTAAAATTGTTGTAACTTAAATATTTGCAAATAGTAGTCTCTGGAATATTTCAAATATAGATATTTAAAATGCAACTATTTTAATCTCTAGTGTCATAAATACTATCTGAGTACTATTCCCAATTTTGAACTTTTTGAAAAGTAATTTACTTGTTTGATGCAGCGCTTGGCCAGCAAGCGGAAGGTCCTGAGTTTGATTCTCATTACCCAAAGTGAAATGAAATTTTTAAAAAATGAAACACAAATACCACAGAGATTTTCCATTTACCTTTCTCTCAGATTCTTCAAAACCTAACCTTTTAGCACATTTGTTTCTTCCATCCTACCTCCCTGTTTGCATACTTCAGTGTATATTTCCTAAAAACAAATATACTCTATTCTCTTGTATAATAACTATCAGCACCAGGAAATCAACGGTGGTATGATAATCAGTAGCTTTTAATTTTGCCAGCTGTTGTTATTGGCAAAGAAAATCTAGGCCCATAAGTTACATTTAGTTGTGATATATCAGGTCTTTTTTATTCTAGCAGTTTGTTAATCTTTGCCTTTGATAACCTTGGCATTTTTGAAGAGTGTAGTCAAGTTACTTTGAGAATGTCCTTCACCTTGGATTTCTTTGTTGTTTCTTCATGAATTCTGATTATGCATATTTTTGGTAGAAACACCACGTCAGCAGTGTTTTGCTGTTCTCATTGAATAACAGCAAGAGAACATGATGTTTGTCTTTTTTGGTGGTAACAGTGTTAACTTTTGGTGATGTCATGTATTTCTCCACAAATTTTTCTTCCTATGTATGAGTTCATACTAACACTTCTAATCAATTTCATGAGACTCATTTTAGCTCTTCCTCTTTCCTTTATAATTCTTTCTTCAACAATAAGAAACACAGCTTATCTGTTTACTCTCCTACCAGTGTGTCACAAATGACGTTACGAAGGACACAGGTGAGGCAAAGCAGAGGGGGAGGTTTGGGGGAGGGAGGCAGGCCCTCCCTTGGGCACACTGTGCTCCAGCAGCCTCCACGTGGTCATCGGTCAGGGTCTCCAGCATCTTCAGCCGTGGAGCTCTGATCACACCCTGAGGTGGTGGAAATACATAGGTAGATAAAAAACATCTACGTGCAGCTCTTGTGAGCAGTGTCACTTCTGTTTGTTATGTTGCTGCTTTGTATAGGGCCTCACCAAACACCAGTGAATTCAACAGGAACACTGTCGGGCACTGTCCCTTTCCTGTCCAATGAGTGAAAACAAGAAACGAGACATAGTATCACCAACCTGATAACTGCGTTTAGGTAGCATCCCATGATTTTTGACATTGGGACTTCTTTATCCTTTTCATTCAGATTAGGTAACTAAATATTCCACGTATACCCAAAAAGCAGCTTAACTCCTTATTCTGAGTTTTTCCCAGTCAAACCCAAGTGTTCAGCTCGGTGTCAGCAGTATAATCAGACTTGTTTATTCCCGGAGTGGTCGGAGTTGAACTTTCAGACGTAAGATGTTTTAAGAGGATGACCCTTAATGATGATTAGAGAAAGCAACTGGCATTTTAAAAACTAGGATTTAAAACTGTAAGAATGTTAAGGGCTTTTCTTGTAAAGTACATGTCTCTCTCTCTCTCTCTCTCTCTTTTAAAACAAGATCCTCTTTAGGAAAAATGAAATATTTTGTGTTTTTTTCCAGCTTGTTTTCATGTTTGGATCATTTTTACATCATATCCTGTTTGCCTTATAAATATCAGTCTCTTGAAGTGAATAGTTTGGCATCTGTGCTTGTTTTCCCTAAGGTTTTCTATCCCAAGGTTGGTCCCAAAGGCAGTGCAAGTAGTGGTTTATCACTTTGTCATGTATTTTGCTGTGGGGAGACAGAGAATGAATATTCTTAAAAATTACTCTTTGTAAACTAGGGGCCATGAAGAGGGATATCTTTAATGCTTCCTAATGCCTTACATAGCAGTTACGATGTTCCTGTCCAGTTTCATTATTTTATACCTACAAGAGCAGTCTTGGGGTCGGGAATGTAGTCCAGCGTCACAAGCACCTGCCTGGCAAGCACAGGGTGTAAACGCAAGGTCTCGAGTTCAATTCCTGGTACCAAAAAAACAAAACAAAGAAAGTCTTTTGTGAGCTAAACAAAAGTATGTTTTTCTTCCAGAGTATAGTCCTGGAAGTTAGACTCTTAACTTATAATGATTCTAAAAAGTGGGGAAAAAAGTAGGAGTTGGAAACTAATGTTCTTTCTGTACATTGTGTTTATTAACAGTATGTATTCTGTATTGCAAAATATCTCATCATCTCATTAATGTTTAGCCCACAGAACCTTTTATCTTTTAGTATCTTGTTGAGTGTCCTTGGTGGTATAAGTTCTGACTACATTCCCAAATCTTGAGGCATTTTAAAGGTTGTATCTTTAAATTTTAAAAAATGTGTCTTTAGTGTCTTACTTTCTGTTTTCATTGTACAGATAATGAACATGTGTATATGGAAATGCAACAAAAACTTTATAAGTATTGTCCAAAAGAATGGAAGAAAGAAGCCAGCAAGGTACGACAATACGAAGTCGCTTGGGTGAGGTTACATTTATGAGCAAAATTATTTTGATTTTTTTATAAAAAGTTTATCTTTTGTGTATTACAAAAAATCCTAAGCAGTACTTCACTCTGTAAACACTGGAGAAAGGAGTTACAATTTGTAAAATGTCAGTTAAGTATAATGATATATTTTGGATGTCTATAAATAGTATTGGATAATAAATTTTTTAGCAATGTTGGAATAACACTTTGAGAAAAAAGGAAAAATTGTTTCTTGTGACCATGTTATCAAAGCTGTGATAGAATTTATTAATAATTTTTATGCTAATTCTGCCATGTATGTATTTGAATTTGTTGCATTATTGTACTGGTGCCTTTATTTAGTAATCATAAACTCTGTGTGTATGGCAGAAGAATCAAAGAATTTGCATAGAGTTTCCAAGATCACCCTCCTAAATCAGAATAAAGTCACAATACCTGATCCCAGATCCTCCAGTTTGAAGCTAAGAATTCTCAGGATAAAAGGGAAGGCAGCTTCAAAGCCAGCTACAGAGTAAGAAGCATGGCTGTCTGAGTAAACAAACAGTTTTAGAATTTGGTATGCGGAATGTCAAGGGAACAAGAGGACATTTGTAATAAGGAGCAAATGGTCACCACAGGGGACAGAGCTGAGCAGGGAGGGGGATCCCAGCTAGAAATTTCCATGCATTTATTTTTATCCTCCCGTATGTTGTCACTGGCATTACTGAGTGGGAATCAGACAGAGGGATGGTGCCCTGTTGTGCTTTGTGACCACCTAGTTTTGTAGGAACCTGCTGTCCACAGGGGTCAGTTGGCCCAAACAAGCTCCTGCCCATTACATGTGGCCAAAGCCCTTCAGTGTTGAAAAGCATCCAGCAAACAGTGTTGATATGGTGACTTTTGAAGCTCATTTTTGAAGTAGCTTGCTGTCAATAGCTTGTTTTTGAATGTGTGTCTTGATTTTAGGGTATTGACCAGTTTGGGCCTCCTATGATTATACATTTCCGAGTTCAGTACTACGTGGAGAATGGCAGACTGATCAGGTATGAGGACCAGAAGACCCGTAAGCCTCACGCTTGCCCATAGCACCTCTTCCAGCATTCCGCTCCGGGAATGCAAACTCCATGACAGTGGTGACCTTTTTTCCTTTTTAGGCTTTCTGCACACTCTTATGCCCTTGATCCCTAAAACATAGGTATAGTGGACACTGAATAAATATTCATTGAATAAGTAAACAGTAATGGTGAATTGTGAATGAAAATGTTAGCAGCATCACCAGCTGTCATTTGCTTTCCACATTTTCACTCACAAAATAGTCATGAAGAAGGAACGGGCAGTTGTGTGAAGAATGGAGAGCTTGATTGAAGGATTTTATTGTTCTCCAGGGATGGGGTGGTAGGGTAGGAAGTGGAGCAGAGGCAGCAACTCCTGTAAAAATGCCCAGGTCTGCATATTAGCCTGGTTTTCCTTTCGTGTTTGTGGTCTTGCTTCTATTCTTACTGCAGAGTTTAAAGCCAGGATTAAGCCCAGGGGGACTGTTGTGGTACTCTCAGGAGGGTTTGGCAAGGGTAGGTGATTCTTTGCTTCTGGATGTGGGTACATGAACCATGCTCATGCTCAGATTCAGAATTCACCATTTTTACAGCTCAGTTAATCTTTTGTATAAGAGGATTCAGGGCTGAAAACTTTCATAGGTGCTTTTCTTGCCTGACAAAAAATGTAAGAAATGTGAACTCTCTGCTTCACTTTTTTGTTTTTTGTGTTTGTCTTTTTGAGTCAAAGTCTTGCATGTAGTTCAGGCCGGCCTTGAACTCGCTTTGTAGTCCAGGCTAGAGACAGTGATCCTGCCTCAGCCTCCTGAATGCTGAGATTACAAGTGTGCACCACCACACCCGGCTTCACTTTGTTTATCAACTATGATAAAGAACATGTGAAAGATAAAAAGATACTTAGGCTAGTGAGTCACATGACAGCTTAGCTTTTGGTAGTATTTTATATCACTGCCAGATGCAAATTAAAGGCAAGAACTTTAGCACATGAAGAATTTTATTTAAAACTTAAGAAACTTCATTAGGCTCAGTTTATATAAAACACATTTTTCTTTTCATTTCCCTGGTAAGTGAAGAATGTCCTGGAAAGAAAGAAATTTTATTAGTTCACTGCTAATTAACTCTCTGGGGCTTAATGAATGTTTAATTCATTCCTTTACTTCCCCAAGGATGAGCCAGTATCAACAGTGTGTGGTCAGCATTAGGAAAAGACATGCTCTGAAAAGTGCTCTATCCCAGGAGAAGGAATTCTAGAAATGCTTTATTTTTAAGTTCTTCATACTTGGTTAAAATAGACCCATGTTTTTATTATTATCTATTGATAAGCTACGAATCTCAGATAAACTGTCAGTTTGCCTCCCCAATAATGGTAGGCAAATAAGCTTATTAAAACATAAATGCACGCACACATATTTTATGACAGTTTTATTTTGATCACAAACACATCCTGTTTACCCATGAATTTTTTTTTTTAAGCTTTAACCATGTTTTTCCCCAGTCTGCTCTTCTTATTCAGTGTAGTTAATGGAGACTGTATTTTTGACCTCAGTGGATTTTGCAATGAATATTTCTTTTTGTGGACATAATCCTAATGGTTAAGAGGGGTGCTTATGAAAATAGCACCCATAAAGTGTCACTCACTTAATATGAAACAAAAAAACAAAAAAAAAACAGATTTAAGGGTAGCTTTCAGTTTATTCATTCTCAGAGAAATACAGATATAAAAAGGACTCTAGAAAAGCAGATTCTTTCCAGAAGAGCATATAAACAAACACTTTTAAAAAGGCCTTAGAGTATTTCTAATGTGCTCAGCTGAGAAACAAAACAAAAAATTACAGCAAACACGAAAGCCATGATTTTCCCTAGTAATAGTCTCATGTATGTCGTGTGCAGTGTTGTTGGGATAGAAATTTCAACAAATGCTTCTAACGTTCTGTATGTTCAGCGGCATGTTGACCCTATGGGAGTGGAATTTTTCAGAGCCTGTCCCCTTCTCTGAGTAAATCAAGTGCAGTGAGCCTTTGGAGAGGTTGACTTTGCAGCCTCAGTAGCCTGACTTGGTGTTCTGGCTCCAGTGACCCTAGTGAGGCAGGTCCTAGCTCTGTGACCACCCTGTTTCAGCAAGGTGGGAGGAGGAGAAGAAGCAGGCTCCTGTCACCAGATGGAAAGCAGTCCTTGTGTTCTGTTTACATGCCATTGTATTGTTCCACCAGAATGTGACTTCTGCATTCTTTTATTTTCTCAGTGACAGAGCAGCAAGATACTATTATTACTGGCACCTGAGAAAACAAGTCCTTCATTCGCAGTGTGTGCACCGAGAGGAGGCCTACTTCCTACTGGCAGCCTTTGCCCTGCAGGCCGATCTGGGGAACTTCAAAAGGAATAAGCACTATGGAAAATACTTTGAGCCAGAGGCTTACTTTCCGTCTTGGGTAGGCACTGTTTTTGAACTTTAACAAGAGCTGTCTCAAGCACATTTCTAGTTCATAGTGCTGTTTCTCTGCTTCTTCAAGAGATTGGGGCCCCCCACATTCTGTGAGCACTACTCATGATGCCCAGGTGTAAAGCTGACACTCCCGAGCCAGGCACGTGCGATGTCTTGAGGTGCTTGGTCTGTAGCTGGCTGACAGGCAAGGGGACTGCTCCTCCTCGGTGTGGCAGAGCTGGGATTGGCCGGCCTCCTTTTGGGCTGTGCATCCTTGACACGGACTGTGGCCCTCTTACTCACCTGTTGTGGAGCTGTTTCCCCTCTGTGAAGAGGAAAACATTATTTCTTCAAGGCTGAGATCAGTCACAGCTTTCCTGAGCTGAGAAAACAGATCTGAGTCAACTTCTCGTGCTTAACTCCGTGTCCTTCCCTCACAGGACAGGAACCAGCCCGACCCTTCAGTGGGAAAATGTAGCTTGCTCCGGCAGGAGCTGCCTCTCCCCTGCCCTATCCGTTTCTGTCTCATCTTTCCTGAGTCTCTGCTGTGTCATGGTGTCCCCTGTCTCTAACTCACCCTCTCATTCAGAACACGTTAAACTTGATGCTCCCCGTGACCCTCGAGAAAGGAGCTGTCTTTGCCTGCCTCCTCAGGAAAGCTGAGAAAGCAATGTATGTTTGATTTTCTGGCTGCTGCTTCCTGTGTGTATTCCACAGGCCACTCTGTCAGTCTTCTTTCCCTACAGTCTACCCACAGTGCTAGGTAAGGTCACCAGTGGCCTCAGCATTGCTAAATCCAGAGAACGTCTTTCACTTCTTCTCTTGAATTTTGCAGCTGTATTTTGTGCTTAACCTCTCACATGTGGGGAGATCTCATCCATGTGTTTCATCCATGCGTTTCCTAGCCCGTGTACAGGCAGATGACTCCCAGCTCTGTTTCTTTCCCCTATCTCTGTGAAGTAGCTCTTTACCCACAGGTTCCTCAATCTCAAAATGTCCTACATCAAATTCATCTTCTTCCCACCTCACTTTGGTGTAATCTTAGCTCTAGCTTTGTGTTCCTACTCTAGGGGCCTAGCGCCCCAAATGTGGACTCCTGTGAACTCCTGCTTGTCAGCCTGCCTTCTCCAGCGCTCCCTGTCAGTAGAAGGCAGCTCTCCTCAGGGTTCGTGGCTTCCTCCCAGCTCCTCCTGCTCCCGGGGTTGCAGCACTGTTGCGGAGAAGTCCTCCTTTCTTCAGATGAGCACTGAGAATTGCCCGCTCTGTGGCTATAATTTTAGAAGAATTCAGTGAGATCCAGAACTTGAAAGTGTGCTGAGAGTGGATATATTTCAGGGTACCAGTCACTTTGCAAGTGTAAATTAGGATGTGTACAAAATTACGCACGTTTGTATGGAGTATTTTTCCTGATGACATGACAGCCAAAAGGACCTATTTTCCCTATTTCTTGTCATTTTTCTTTTTAGATATGCAGCTCTACCCTCTAAATGGAGCTTGTAGCTTATAGTATTAGCTGATTCAGCCAGTAACATAACAGATGGTGAACACAGAATGAAAGTGGGTATTTTCTAGTGGAAATTAGCCAGGTTGTGTGGTCTATTTTAAACTCTCACCCTTTTATCATTTTGGGGTGGGAGTTGTACTTACATGCCTCTGACAAATGCTACATTGCACACCCCCGTATGTCCCAACAGGTTGTTTCCAAGAGGGGGAAGGACTACATCCTGAAGCACATTCCAAACATGCACAAAGATCAGTTTGCACTGACTGCTTCCGAGGCCTATCTTAAATACATCAAAGAGGCTGTCCGGCTGGATGACGTCGCCGTCCATTACTACAGATTGTATAAGGTATAAAGCCACGCCACAGTTGTGGTGCTGAGGAAGGTGTTTCTCAGAATTTCAGGCATCTTGACAATTGTATTTCCTCTTAAAACAGGCTTTTCGTCTCCTCGGTACTTAAGATTGAACCCACGCTAAGCTTTATCCCTGAGCTCTTTTAAAAAAATTTGTGCCATATTGAGACTGTCTCACTCAGTTACTAAGTTGCCTGGTCTGGGTTTGAACTTGGCAGTCCTCCTGCCATAACTTCCCTGAGTGCTGGAATTATTAGCAAACCCTGCTAAACAGACTTTTTAGTGTTTTGATACCATAAAAGGAGCAATCAAAATACACAGTGACTATTTGAATCTTTTAAAGTTGTTACAGTAAAAGACACCTTGTGATTAATCCCCTCCACTCCACTTAGAACACACTTACTGCACCTTTCTTCTCACTTTCGGAAGCAGTTCTGGAGTTTCTTGTTCGAAGTGTCTGTAGGAGGTGGATCAAAGCATGGTGCATGCTGCTGCTGAGTGCTGTGCGGTGGGAAGCCAGGTCTGTAAAACATTATGGCGTGTCCTCATCCACCTTATTCACTGGATCTGGCACCGTGCAACTCCTGGCTCTCCTCTAAAGCCAAAGTAACCATGAAAGATAAATGTTTCAAATCAGTTCGGGACAGAGAGGGCAGCCAGTGACAGAGCAATTAAAGACACTGGTAGGTAAGTCAGTTTCAGCAATAGTGCTTTCCTCTCGTCTAGAATGAGGATGGAGCATTCTCTCTCTTTTTTAAAGATTTTAAGAGATAAATGGTTACGAATTGTGAATCTGGCTTATTAGTGACAATGGAATAAACATTGTGCTTGTCTGCTTTGGGGAGTAACATTGGCAGCTTCTTTGATCGTGTTTTGTTTTCAATTTTATTTAACAAAAAAACAACAGTAAAAGGGTACAAGTAATACAGAATTTCAAAAAAAATAAACAGTAAGAAATCACTAGTTAATAGATTACATATTGTCATCTTAGAAATAGTTGTTCAAGTTACAAAATTAAAGCATACAAAGTTGACATTCAAACAGTGAGACTGCAAACAGTTGTGTTCAATGATCCAACAAAAACTTAGTAATACGGTTATCTATCTTACACACCTAAACACACTTGCAGTTGTGTCCTTTAGAGCATTTTTTTTCCTCGATCATGCGTTTTTAAGGTTGCTCAGAGTGAAGCCACACCTGTGGTACATCCATCGGTCTTATAAACATATCACTGCAGCTCCGTTTATGGAGTTTATTGGGCATACTTTCTATTTCTTTTCTTTTTTTAAATCCTTATAACTTGTAAGAGTGAAACTATAATCGTAGTTTTACAGAACAAGAAACTGAGGCTTAGCAGGTTAACAGGCTTTTCATCTCCTCAGTACTTAAGATTGAACCCATGCTAAGCTTTATCCCTGAGCCCTTTTAAAAAAATTTGTACCATATTGAGACAGTGTCTCACTCAGCTACTAAGTTGCCTGGGCTGGGTTTGAACTTGGCAGTCCTCTTGCCATAACTTCCCCCAAGTGCCAGGATTACTAGCAAACCCTGCTAAACAGACTTTTTAGTGTTTCACCTAAGATGGTAGTAAAGCCAAGTGGCAGAGCCAGACGCAGCCTAGGCGTCTTGGTGACAAAGCTCCTGTGCATAAATGAGACTCTGCACTCTCCTCACTCTCTGAGTCCTTAGTCGTTTGTATCCCGTGCATCCGTAGCTCATTTGCCTAGCCCCATGGGACCTTAGGCAAGTTGCTTAGCCTCTTCGTGTGTCAGTGTCTCAATAATGAAACGAGGACAGGAACCTGTTCCTTATGACTGCAGCACACTAAAGGAATTACTGGACAGAGTTCCTGAAACAGTGCCCATCATACCTTAAGCATGAAGTTACGTTTGCTGCTGTTCCGACAATTGCAGTGTGCTATCTCTGCTGTGCCCTAATGTTAAGATTAGTGTAGTGCCTCCAGTGAATTAGTGTAGGTCACTGGACACCGGGCTGTATCTGGTTGTAGCGCTGAGTAATCTTCCTAGCTGGTTCTGAAAATTTAGTAAGTGACCAGCAGATGGTCTCTCCCTTCTCCCCTGCCTCTCCGCGGCCTCCTCCCTCCCCAAAAGATGTACTGTGACTTGAAAGGCACAGTTAAGGTCCATAGAGTCTCTCAGGGTAAATTCCTAAAAGACTGGTTCAGGGTTTTTCCCCCCTTAAGAGATGTAACTTGTGGTACCTCATTTTATATGCAAATGCTGACAAATCACATTTTTTATAATCATCTTATGTTTAAACTGTATTTGAAGTGTGAATAATACATGGGAAAAACTGAGGCTTTGAAATTAGATATCACTTAGAAGCCCTATGTTACTCTCATGATCGCTGGGTGCTGGGCAACTGTAACTGTAATCATGGGCCATCTATGAAGCGGCAGTGGTGCTGTGTACCCCAAGTCAGTGGGGTAATGAGTGTGAAACAACAATGGGCTACCTGGCACATTAGCAGATGCTTGGTAAATGCTCATTGCTTCTTGTCTTACTTGCTGGGAAAACCTGCTATTTTAAAGAAGCCTATTAATAATCTTTTAGTGGAGTAAAAATGCCCAATTTGTCTTTTTGCAAAAATTAATTTAAATTTTGGTTAATGTGTGATTCTTCTACATGACACAGAAAGTGATTCACTTGTCTGCTTAAAACAAGATATTTAATAAAAATGTGATTAAAGTGGTTAAATAGATATTTTCACCTGAAGGACAGTTTGTATCCTTTGGAGAAGTCATTAAATCTGCTGCATTTAGAGTTTACTTATGAAATGGTAAAAGGGTGGACAGGGCAGGAAGCATGCTGGGGGGCAGGAGGGAACTATTTTGCCCAGCTTCCCCACTAGTACATACCTCATATATGGGCAACCAGCATTTTTATGTCACAATGTTATTTCAAAAAGCAATAACTACAGCCTGGGATGGGAAATTGACCACAGTTTAAGTAGTAATGGATTGGTTTCTCCTGTCAGATCTTAACACTGTATGTGCTTGTCTGCTGTAAACAGTATACGACTTGGGAAGGAATAGTCCAAATACTGAAAATAAGCTATGTTTTCTTTCTATGCCAAGCGAGGATGCATTTTCTAAAAATATCTCTTCCCATGGTCATGGGGAAGATGACTTTAAACAACGAGGTATACACATCCATTTATTGTTTTGAGAAAACCCCAAACCAGTCTTTTAGGATTTTATCCTGAGAGACTCTATGGACCTGTGAGATAACTTTATTATATTTTGAACTTCATACCTCAAATGTGTTTCCTACAGATGAACAAGTAAAACATGTGGCCAAGTTTCAGAGTACATTTTCAATTCTAGAATTTTTTCCTTATGCTTGCTACAGTTTTACTTTTACATTTTATGGTTTCACTGGTAGAATGTGTACCATAATGGCAAGTGATAATTGAACTTCTTAAAAATACATATTGCCAAACTAACTAAATATAACAGAGAATTTTATTATCGTCAAAAGAGAATCATGACTATGTAGTCACTGTCTGTAATTTTGGTTTCAGAGAACTGGGAACTTAGTCCTGTTCCCAGTTCTGATGCATGTTAGACTGTGACTATGAAATTAAGTTCAATATGCTAGTGTCAGAGGAGTAAGTCTAAGATGGGAGGTGAAAAATAAATGATGCAAAAGCAACAAAAATAGTTTTGCCTCCTAGAGTTCTCAATAGCGTAAGTGTTTAGCATATTGTAGAGTGGAAGTATGTATACTATAGTGAAAACATTCAAATGTAGAGCTCTTAAGGGTATAAAGCGTACAATATACCATTATTAATTTAGCATAGGAAACGAGATGTGGGAAGATATGAGCAAAGTTATTATAAGTCAAGTGCTTTCCAAACCCAGAATCTCTTTTTCTTTGGTACTGAAGTATTCATTTCTGAAATATTCATTCGGAAAAATACACCTTTTCATAAGCTTTTATTCCTACAGGATAAAAGGGAGATTGAAGCTTCACTGACCCTTGGATTGACCATGCGAGGGATACAGATTTTTCAGGTTGGTAAATGAGAAGTGAGCGTCAACTGGCATTGGCCATGGCTTATATTTAGAGCACGCCTGTGTGGTCTGTTTCCAGATGCTATTTCCTGTTTGTCTTGTGCAGATGTTGAATAGGTTGGATGAAATGATTCAACCTGATCCTTGACAGTGGTGAGATCCCTGTAGCAGAAAACAAGCCAGTGATTAGCCTAGGTTCATCACTAACAGATCGTTAATACTCTAACATTTCTTGGTGTGCCATTGATTTTCAATATTCTCTTTTATCGCATGGACAGTTAGTAAGTGTGGAGAGAAAAATGACATTTTAATATGGAGCCTGGCTAGATGTTTTAATTTCCTTTGCACTTTTATAACACTTGTCCCTGGAAAACATAGTAACTGCTATCCTTTTGCAGGTGGGATGCCCTTATCCTACAGGGAGGAAGAGACATTAGAATGCTAAGGATGTCTTATCTTTGGTGTAGGCAGAATATCCAATCATAAATTTCAGGCCCTTACCACCTTTCTAGAATGTCTCAATGTCTCTCGGACTTCTTGTTTAAATTTATGGATAGGCCAGAAGGGCAGAGATTCCATTAAAATGGCCAGTTAATGCAGTCACAGAGGAACCAAATGCTACAGAACTTTATCACTAATCTTCTAATTACTGTCTTTATTTTTCCAAAGAGAGTTTGAAAAGTGTTTCAGATCTTAATTTCTGAATTTTAGTTTTCTAGGAGAGACTTAGAATCATCTTAGAGTGTTATTTATCCTATAATTCCATATGCATTGTAATTATTTTCACAGAATCTCGATGAAGAGAAACAATTGCTGTATGATTTCCCTTGGACAAATGTTGGAAAGTTGGTATTTGTGGTAAGTTCAAAATAACTAATTTTTAAAAATAAAAATGTCACAAGTTTGGGTTTTGGTAAATTTTGGGTATTTTTACTACTTTTTTTTTTTTTCTTTTTTTAAGCATTTTGTCTCAGGAGCAAAAGTTACTTTTAAAGTTTGAAGCTGAAGAAAACTTACTTTCTTATTCTTGTGGTCCTTGTTGTTCGTAGCTCAGTGAGCTTAAAATCAAAGAATCTTTAAGTCACAGAACTGACTGTAACTTGTGACTTTGTGTCCATCCCTCATCACCCCGTTACTGTAGCTGCAGAAGCAGTGTGTTGGGAAAAGTGTAAAACAGAATTATCATTAAAAAAAAAAAGAAAAGAAAAGAAAACACAGCAGAGAAACACAGAAAGCTATAATCACAGGGTCTATTACTCTCAGGGTAGAAGTTGGCTGGTTCTTTTGGAAGTTGTTTCTTTTGAACAAAGAATAAAGAATAATAATAAAAGAAAGATGTTTCTATTAATATCTCAGTATTTAAAACTCATCATTATAAAGAAAAGTCTACAATACTTAACTGGAAAAGTACTTTTATTTTTAGAATATTGAGAATGATACACTTTCTTTTGTGAAGACAAATTCTTAATTTTTCCCAGCTGTTTCTTTACTTCACCAGCTATATACATTTTTGGGGTAGACTATAAAGAATTAGGGTTCATAGTGTGTACATCTGATAGTCATTAAAACCCATAATTCTTCTTTGTTCAGAAGTTACTGGAAAAGCATACATGCGGAAAGCAGGAAGATAAGGCTTTGTAGGCATGCACTTCTCTCCTGTGGGCAGACATCCTGTTTAAATCAGGGCAGCACTAACTTCAGGCTGTGTGGAGCCCAGGAGCCCGTCTCAGGCTTTCTGCTACCTGCTCGGCACCCTGTTTGATTTGGTTTCGCTTTAGTCACATGGCAAGGGGGGATTGCCCTGCCTCCTCTTCACTGACTCTCTTGTGTTCAAATTGTTTAAAGGATCTGAGGTATTTGAAAATGAGCAGATCATACCCCACTTGCCCTTTCTATGGCCCAAATTCAGTAGCAATGAGATGTATTTGTGAAATTGAGGGATTTTTGGGTCTTGAACCCAGTGGTTCCTAAATCTTTGTTATGTATCCATTGTATTTCAGAAGCTTGTTAAAGTAATTAATGTAGCTAGAAAGGAAAAAGGTGAAATCACAATGGACACTGCTAAAATCCAGAAAATCATTAGGGACTATTTCACAAACATATATGCTGAATAATTGAAGCACTCCAAAGGAATGGAGAGATTCTTAGATACATGTGAATTGCCAAAACTGAATTAAGAAGACTTAAAAATCTTCAACAGTCCAGTAACAGGCAACGTAATTAAAGTAATAATAATAATAATAAACTACCAACTAAGAAGCCCAAGAGCTATAGAATTCACAGCCAAAATCTGTAAAACTTTCAGGGAAGATCTAACACCAGTATTCCTCAAACTTTTTAATGAAATTGAGAGGGAAGAAGTACATCCAAAATCATTTTTAGAGGCTAACATTATCTTAATCCCAAAACCAGACAAGCATCCAACCAAAAAAGAGAATTACAGGCCATTTTCTCTGGTAAACATAGGTACAAAAATTCTTACCAAGCTATTGGCAAACAGAGTGGGACAAATCATCAAAACGGTCATACACCATGCCCACGTAGGCTTAATCCCAGGGATGCAAAGATGGTTCAACACATGCAAATCATTAAATATGATACAGAAACAAAAGTAAGGACAGAAATCACATGATCATCTCAATAGATACAGAAAATGCCTTTGACAAAATCCAACATCCATTCATGATTTAAAAAGAAAAACCTAAAGAATAGAATTTGTATAAAAATATACTATGTCTTTATCTCAATATGATAAAAGCCATATAGGACCAACTTACTTCCAGCATCGTATTAACTGGGAAAAAGCTGAAAGCCTTCTCTCTAAAATCAGGAACAAGTCAAAGATGTCCATTGTCACCACTCCTGTTGAGCATAGTCCTTGAAACATTAGCCACAGCAATCAGGCAAAAGAAAGAAAAGAGGTATAGGACAAAATCAATATGTCATTATTTGCAGAGGACATGATCTTTTACTTCTAAGACCCCAAGTGTCCACCAAAAGACTCCTGGAATTGATAATCAGATTCATCAGTACAGCAGGACACACAAACACAAAAATCAACAGTGCCCCTTTACACTAGTAATGAACTCACTGAAAAGCAGTTAGGAAAACAGTAGCCTTCATGACTGCATCAAAAACTACTTAAGTATTAATGTAATTAAGGAAATTTTATTGACTACAATAAAAATTACATCAGACTGAAAAGGAAAATTATGAAGGACATCAGAAAATGGAAAAATATCCCCCTGTTCCTAGATAGGCAGAACCAATATAATTACAATGGCTAAACTTCTAAAATTGATACACAGATTTAGTGTACTCTCAATGAAAATAGCAATGTCATTTCCCACAGAGCTAAAGAAAGCAATCCTAAAATTTATATGGGATCAGAAGAGACTCAGAACAGCCACAGCAATCCTGGGTAACAAAAACAATGCAGGTGGCATCACAGTCCCAGAGTTGGGGTTACACTGTATAAAGATACAGCAGTTAAAATGGCGTGGTGCTGCCACAGAAACAGACATGCAGATCAGTGAAGCAACAAAGAAGCAGAAGCAACTCCAGTCACATACACTGTCTGATCTTTGGCAAAGGAGCCAAACACATGCACTGGAGGAAAGATAGTCTCTTTAGTAAATGGTGCAGGAAAAATTGGATATCCTCATGCAGAAGACTGAGTCTAGACCCATATATCTCACCGTGCACTAAAATCAAAATGGATCAAAGATTTAAATGTAAAACACAAACACACAATCTGCTGGAAAATAAAATAGGTACAACTTTTAAAGCATAGGCATAGACAAGAACTTTCATGAATAGAACCCCATTGGGATGAGAAATAAAACTGAGAATCGACAAGTGAGACTATATCAAGTTTAAAAGTTTCTGCATAGCAAAGGAAACAACCAACAGAGTGAAGAGATCTACAGAATGGGAAGATAATTTTGCCATCTATTCCTTGGGCAGGGGACTAAGATCAAGAATATATAATGAACTCAGAAAATTTAGACCCCCCCCCAAATAAAAGACCCAACCAAAAAAATGGGCTACTGAAATAGACACTTGTCAGAAGTAGTACAAATGACCAATAAATGCATGAAAAAATCTTATCTCTGGCCATCAGAGAAGTGCAAATTAGAACAACACAGAGAATTACTATCATCAAAAAATGCTGGCAGGGATGTGGAGAAAAAAGGAATTCTATTACATTGTTACTGGGAATGTAAACTAATACAAGCACTCTGGAAATCATTCTTCCAAAAGCTAAAAGTAGTAATTCCTTTTGACTCAGTTGTATCCATCTTAGGTATCTCCCCAGGAAAGTTAAAATCATGTTACGGGGCTCCATGCATACCCATGTTGAAAATAGCACAATTTACAATAGCTAAATCTTGGAAATAGCATGTATTTTATCAACAGATGAATGGATATGGGAAGTGTGGTGTTTATGTACAACTGTAATACGCTGCCATGAAGTAAAACCTCTGGCATTCTTAGGTAAATGGGTGCAACTTGAGAACATAATAAGGAAAATAGACATACAAGTTCAAATATTGCATAATTTATATGAGAGAGACTATACATGTTTATATACATAGAGTGAAAAATAAAGCAAGTAGAGGTTCAAATACTTCCTTAAATTACATATTCCGTTGTTTTTAGAATATTCAATATGTATGCTAATTTGTTTCATTTGTACTACTGGTTTGGTTTATCTTAGTTCATTGAAAAGGAAGTCTGTTACCTGTTTCTTTTCTATAAATCTTTTTGATTTATGTCTTATCCTAAGTACTTTGAAGGTAATGATATATACTGTAACAATTATTAGTATTATTTGGTTATGAAAATTTGTTTTAGTTTTTCAGAAAAAAGAAAAAGAAAAAACAGATTTCCAAGCCTCCTCTTCCTCCCCAAGGGATTTTTTTATTCAGGGGTCTGGGATGGAGACTGGGAATCTTATTTAGACAAGTTTCCTGGGTGATTCTTTTTGGGGTCAACCCAGCTCTGTGCTCTTGAGCAAATGACTTGCGTCTGCTCTGCCCTGGTTTCCTTCTAAAATGGTAATAGTGGACCCTTCCCCATAGGCCTACGGGGATTAAATGAGCTAATACGTGCTTAGTTTTCACTAAATGTCAGTTACTGCAGTCCCAGTGTCAGAATCCACTAATAGTTCCTTTACAAAACAAATTGTCCCCTGGCCTGGGCTCTGCAGTCCCGTATCCCTTACACTGACTTGGCTGTGTGGTGGAGGAGCTTCTAGCCCTGCTCTCCAGCCGAGACTCAGTCAGGCTGAAGTACTTTGCCCAAGTTGTTATTAGGAAAGTTAAAGGAACTCCTAAGACCCCAATATAAAAGGCACTTTCAGACCCTCCACCTAGCATGCCTTGAATGAGAGTTCTCATGTCGTCGCCGCTCACCGGTCTTTCTCTTTCATGTCTCCAACTGCCAGCTCCCTCGTGTTGAGCTAGAGGAGTTTTCCACTTTCCTTGTCCCATATTGCTCACTAATAGAACTTACTTATTACCTTCTCAGCATTTGCCATGAACTGTGATTATTTTATGTGTGTATTTACCCTCTTTCCTGCTGGAATATAGAGAGCCCCATGAGGGTGGAGACCTTGTGTTACTCTTTGTTGTGTGTTCCGTGTTCAGCACAGTGTTCTGTACATACATGGAAGCATTCAGTGAACATTTGTGTGCATTCATCTCTTGTAAAATTCATCCTATTTGCTGAGTTGGGGTGCTGGGGTTAAATACAAGGATGCTTTGGTGTAGGGCTGCTTTTCTCCATGATGCAAGAAGCCGACCAGCCAGAGCCTGAAGATGTCCCCCAGCTGCTGGCTGTAGTCTGTTCCTGGAGGTGGCTGGCTAGATACTTCCCTGAATTTGTGCAGTGACATTAGAGCAAAAACACAATAATTTATCCCTTAGGGAATCTTAAGTGGAGCTTTATGCATCTATTTCTCAATCCGTAGTTTTCCTTACTAAGTGGAAAATGGAGGAGACCTTGGCAAGTCAGGAATTTTTTTCCTTTCATTTGATAAATGCTTTTCTGCCACAGGGAAAGAAGTTTGAAATCTTGCCAGATGGCTTGCCCTCTGCCAGGAAGCTTATATACTACACGGGGTGCCCCATGCGCTCCAGACACCTCTTGCAGCTTCTGAGCAACAGCCACCGCCTCTACATGAACCTGCAGCCCGTCCTGCGCCACATCCGAAAGCTGGAGGAAAATGAAGGTAGCACAGGGGCTCGGGTGGGAGGAGAAGACGGTGCCTTTGGCAGCCCCGTCCCTTCTTCCGTAACTGCCACGAGTCAGGACGTTCAGCTCTTTGAGAATGGGATTTTGCATCCCGGCCTGTCCATGTTCTGAGCGTCCGTTCTTTTACTTCTCAGCACTGTTGTGGAAGGCATGGGAAGGAGCTCGGGGCCCAGCCACTGTAACACCTCTTCCAAAGCTCTGAGGCTTCCCAGTGTTAGCTGCGGTGTCTGTAAGGTTGCCCCACATCAAGCTTGAAAATCTTTGTACTAGGTATGAGGTAAAGATTTGTCTGCATCTCAGAGCTCTACAGGTCCACCAGCCTTCCTTGGTGCTGTTACCCTGTGATTATTCCTTAGGTTAAAATGACCATAGAGGTAAGCCACAGCCTCTCTCCTTGACAGCTGGGAGACCCCCACTTGAGACTCAGGACAGTGATAAAGGACCGGAAGGTTTTCTTTGAGAATTTCGTCAGTTGATCCTACAAGCCCCTTGCCGAGATGTAATTGATATGGAGCAGTCTGTGGGGGGCTCCAGGGTACCTAGAAAGGGGAGCAAGTCCGATTGGGGAAGGAGGAGACAATGTTGGAGCCCCTACCATCTCACTTCAGCTCTTTCTCTTGAGTTTTGGCACTTTTTATCCCTCCATTTTTAACACACTCCACCTTGCAGCCCCATCAAATGCTATGTCATTTATTTTTTTTTAATGTCTTCAGTTTTTTTTGCCAAGTTATGTTGTAGTAATCAGACCTTACGATGATTTGATTAGGCAAATATTTGATAGGATGCAGGCTCCTACCCTAGGTGTACATCTGAAACAAGTTTTAACCCTGAGACTCACTTTTCCTGAAGAAATAGGACAAATTCCCACTGTCTCTTAAGTAACCTTCAAGAGGTGTGTGTTTCTGGGTGCTGTCTCTCAAACCGGCTCCCCGTCCAGATAAGACCTGGGGCGGAGAGCCCTGGTAATTCAACAGCAGAACATGAATCACGCCCTACTCACTGTCTGTCACCAGACTGCGTCTGTCTTAGGAGAGAATTGGTGCTGCTGTCAGGTGTATTGGCTTCCACTGCTGCCAGGCTGCCAGTTCCCCACAGTGACTCATCAGTATGACAAATATATCTCTCCTGTGCTGACATGAATATTAAGAGGATGCAGTTGGGGACAGAAGCACTTAGCAGTATGTGTGAGGATGGGTGGCAGTTAGGTGCAGAGTCTGTACTTTGTCAAGTCTGCCTGTTTCCTAAGCGGCCATGATGGCTTGACAGATTCATCAGCTTGCTGCCTGCAGCATTTCAGTAAATTCTTGTTTAGATGACCTTAGCCCTCGCAAACCTGAAAATTAGTGACCCCCCACTCTGTGGGTTCTAAGGTCAAATGACAGAGGATGTGGAATTCTTAGAGGACAAGGCGATGCCCGTTGCCATGCTTGGTACCAAGTATAACTGGGGACTCCCATGAGCAGGTGTCCTTGTCCTTCCCAGGCTGCAACAACAAACCACCACAGACTGGGTCTTATTAAAGAATGGAAGTTTACCTCTCAAGCTCTGGCTGCTGAGCAGTGTCAGGAGCTGGCATCTGGTGAGGACCTTCCTGCTTCATCCAGTGCGGTGGACGCAGGAAGGCAAGAGGGAAGAGAGTGTGTGCCAGGACCACACCGCCTTTACGACAGACTCACCCTCCTTGTAACGGCCTGGTCCATTCACGAGAGCTAGGCCTCCTCCCCGCTCTCACCTCTTAACGGTCCCCCATCTTGGTGCTGTTACAGTACCTCTGAGATTTCAACTTGACAGAGTTGAAACCTTTAAGAATCCTTCAAACCTAGCAGTAAGAGAGGGAAGCAATAGTAAAGACATAAATGGGAGCTTTTATTTGGATGAATGGAGATTTGAGGAAGCCTCTTCAGTTTTCCTTTTGTTTCCAAAGCCAACATCCTTAGTTTTTTCTATGTAGACATTTCTTAGGTCTGAAGAAGACCTTAAGCTAGTTTCCCTGAGCCAGTGTTGGCTGTGCTGTAACCAAGTGCAGCTTCTTAGGTGTAGCACCAAGGCTGTGCTCACTTTGACAGCAAAGATGCTTTCTGTGAGGTTCTTAGCCCGAAGGAACCGGGCTTCTCACGCACACTGTGCGGAGTGTGGAGGACCTGTAACTGGCTCGGAGCCCATCTGGAAGCTGGCAGTGAAAGGGCTGTTGGTAGAGACATAGGAAAGCATTGAGATATGAGCCCGTAGGAACTCCTCCTTGTCTTAGCACTGGAGCGCTCCAGCACCTTACAGAAATGTTTCACTTCTTCCTCCCGGCCTCCCACGCTTCCGAGAGACCGGGGATTATCATTTCTATGACAGTGCATAGAAACCGAGAATTTTGTGAGCCCCTTGGCTCTCCCTCTTCATCTGTGTCCCTGTCAACCTCAGAAGACGGGAGTCATTAAAGCCACCTGCTCCCCGAAAGATGGGCTGCAGACAGACACACTCCTGTCGTGGTGGCGCCTGCGAATGCTCCTTGACCAAGCTTTATGTTTTTTTTGATCCTGGAAAGCACACCTTGTCTTCTGTTGCCCATTCCCTCTGGGGAGGCGCTGGTGACCACAGTTCAGGGCTGGCTGCAGACAGAAGGACTGTGCAAGGGTTTCTTTCACTTAGTCACGAAACAAGACCATCCACAAGCAGGCTATTTTCTGACCTGAAATAGAAATGCAATGTTAGTCTGTCAGTGCTGGCCCTGCAGCCCAGCAGTCACTTAATGTACTAAGTGTTGGAGAACCGGGCTTCCCCATGTCTGGCGCACTGGAAGCTGACACTGATGTGTTAAAGAACATTTTTACCAGCCAGAGACCATGGTAGTATAAATCATTAAACTGGTAGCAATTATTGTGTTTTTTAACTAATTCAGCCTAAATAACCTCAATAATTGAGCTTAAGTGTAGAAAAACACTCATATATTAGTAAAAATTTAAATTTTGTATCTTTGAAAAAAAAATTTCAGAATAGTTTCATCATAAGTCACACTCAGTGTCTAGAACTAACAATGGACAAAATTTAACAAACAAGCTGGTAAAATGGATTGGCAGGCAGGAAAGTTAGGTTTATTAAGTAGCAGTGCCTCTGAAATTATCCATGGAAAGGGACTAGATCTTTTGAATAAAGTACTGTGCACTGGTATTCCTGCAGAGCACAGACTTACATTGGTGACTGCGTGAGCTCCGGCGGTTTCTAAACGTTTTCAGCTGCTGTACTGGCTTCTCTGGGAACAGTAACAGTGTGCAGACAGGAAACAGTCTGTGAAATTCCATGTGGAGCAGCTCTCTTCTAGCGCTTGAAGCTTTACAGCCTGCAGTGGTTCAAATCCTCCCCTCAAATGTGCTGTTCTGGTTTTCATCTATGTCGCTGTTTTTCTTCTTGAGCCACCTCACTGTCCGGTCACTAGAGGTGGAATGTGACACCGGACTCGGTCATGACCTGGTGACTCACGTAAGCCAGCCCAGGGTCCTGCAGTCTCGATGAAATGTGACCCTGAGCTGTGTTCTCACCACACAGAGAAGAAGCAGTACCGGGAGTCGTACATCAGCGACAACCTGGACCTGGACATGGACCAGCTGGAGAAGCGCTCGCGGGCCAGCGGGAGCAGCGCGGGCAGCGTGAAGCACAAGCGCCTGTCCCGGCACTCCACCGCCAGCCATAGCAGCTCACACACCTCGGGTATCGAGGCGGACACCAAGCCCCGGGACGTGGGCCCGGAGGACAGCTACTCTGGCAGCGCCATGCACCGTAAGCTGAAGACCTGCAGCTCCATGACAAGCCACGGCAGCTCCCACACCTCAGGGGTGGAGAGCGGCGGCAAGGACCGGCTGGAGGAGGACTCGCAGGACGATGGTAGCAGTAGTGCCCCGTCGCTAGCACCTTTCCTTCTCTGCAGTTGTATCGAGCCAGGCTCTGCAGAGTTGGTGCCCGGGCAGCAGCTAAGTAGTGGTAACAGAAGAGCTGCCTTGCAGCCCTGCCCAGTGGCTCGGGCGGTTGCTTGCATTCAGCTGTGAGCAGGGCATTCCTGGGGGGAGCCTTTGTGCTGTTTAGGTGAAGGGCAGGGGGTACTCCTGCACCTGCAGCCCTCATACCTACACTTCCGACTCCCAGGTTAAATAAGGCAGCAGTTAGGACAGCAGAGAGGAGTACGGCAAAGGTGACAGAATATCGTAAATGTCTACCTCTTCCCTGAGACAGGATTCAGGTCCATGACATTCAGTGAACCAGGTGTTTTCTAAGTGCCTCCTACACAAGCAGGACTAGAGCGGGGTCCTAGCTTCTAGGAACATGCTGTCTCTTGCAGAGGTGAGGCAGGTTCCACAGATAGCGTCAGCCCAGCCTTGCGCTGCGTGCCCCTCTGATGCTTTTCTCTCCAGCTATATGTCTGTAGCATTTGGTGAAAACTGCAGAACCTGCCTGGTTGCTATAGAATTCACAAGGCTACCAAAGCAGCCACCCCTGCATGAGAATTGCTGGCCAGAAGCGGGAGCTTCACGAGCTCCTCATCCTGCTAGGGCCCATAGTCCTTGATTTGGCTGTGCATAAATGGCCCAGCAGCTTCTGTTTGTCTTCGGTCATTGGGATGTGGTTGTATAGCTTTTCTTGTCTCTTTAAGAATAAGGAGTGATCAGTAATCAAATCATGGCATCAGAGGCAATTGGGCAACAGCAATACTGTGAAAAGAGAGCCCTGGCTAGGAGTTGTCCCTGGAGTTTCCTACTGGAGAGTCTTGTTAGTGGATTTATTTTCAAATGTGAATGATTGTACATCCACCCCTGAAGTGTGGCTGGGGGTTATGGCTGTCATCTCTGTGTCCTGAAATATTTTTTTCTTCTTTCTTATCAGAAATTGAGATGCTGGTGGATGACCCCAGGGACCTGGAGCCAATGCACGAAGACTCTCTGGAAGTCAGTCCGGACATGTGCATCTACATCACAGAGGACATGCTGCTGTCCAGGAAGCTGAACGGACACTCCGGTGAGCGCTTTGGGATGGGGCTCCCTGAGCGGTGGGGTTTCCCGGACCACCCTAAGCTGCAGGGCCACCTGAAGGGCAAGGAAGCATCCTGTTCTGCGTGCTCTGGATGAAAGTTATACCATGGGCTTTACTTTTGCTGTTTTAAAATCAGAGCTAGAGAATCAAGATGCCTCTGAACAGGGCCTTGGAGACCCTTCAGTCTGCCTTCACACATTTTACAGATGAGAAAACCTGTAGATTAGAGAGACAAGGGACAGAGAGAAACTGGAGGCTTGGTTTCATTTTCCCTGGGATATGGTATTAATACATGGAGGAGTCTGGACACAAAGAGTGTCAAACGGTGTTGGCCTACAAAGACACTCTTAAATTCTGTATTTTTATATATTTTTCTGGAAAGCATACATTCACTGTCACCCTGTGGTAGGGTTATGTTTGTTTCTGCCATATGAAAGACAGTCTCTCCCAAAGGCAGCAGTGTGAGTTTTGTGTTTGAACCTCAGTCACTTCCTTTGTGTTAGTCACATCTCAGGTTAGTCTGCTCTTTAGAGCAGTGCTGTTGAATTGGCCTGAGTATCTGTTGTCCTGCCACTTCTAGCCTGACTGGGGGAAAGGCCCGGACCAGGGGTGGCCTGCCTGGCCCTGTCTGACCCACAGCCCCGATGCTCACTGAGCCTCTGCCACGTGCAGGTCCTGGGAATCGGAGGTGACAAGACAGATACACAGCCCTCCTTGTGTGAGTACAGTGCATTTACTCAGCCCACAGCCACTCTGCCAGGAGCAAGCCTGCCCTGGGGCATGGGCAGTGTCACCATCGCTGTCCCTCGCCAGCACTGACTCAGCAGGCCGGGCGATCCATACACACTTAGGATTCATGTGCCAAGGTTTGCCCTTTTGCCCATTTGCTTTATGCATTAAATTTTCTCTTTAAAAATACAGTTCAGTATATATTAAATGTAAATGTGCAATTATACACACCTGACAGATGCATGGATTTATGGAAAGAAAATGCATCTTCATCGTCCTGTGTGCACTCTCCCGGGGCTAAGGCGATGGTCTTCCTCAGCACCTGTAGGAAGACCAGCTGAGCACAGCAACTTGCATTTCTGCATTCAATTTTTTAAAGATTATTAATTTTATAATGCTAAATAGGAGTAAGAATAACTTTATATATTATAATATATATACAGTAATAGCAAAAAAGGAACAATAAGAGGTTAAACTGCACCACGTTCATGCAGGGAAGTGTTACACATCCATTCCATATGCAATTTTCTAAACATAATTAGTAACATGAAAGATACATAAGGAAGACAGTGCAAATTATATAAAAGTATGACCTAATTAAAAATAAAAGGAATTATTTTAAAAGAAAATACATAAAATTGAGTAGGCTTTTCTCGGAAGATAGGCTCCTACCTGACTTGATTCTCTTTTCCAAGCTCTCTGCGGTGTGAGGGGCTCTGTGCTCCCGCCTCATTGAGTGTCATGGGACTGGGTGGTTCTGAGCTTCGAGCACCAGGCTTCATTCTGATGCCTTAGTGTTGGGTGGGCCCTGGAGAAGAGTGTTCATGGGTGTGTGACCGCCAAGGACACATTTACTAGGAAGTCCCCAAGGAGCCGTTCCCAGTGCCAGCCAGTACATGCATTTCCGTGAGGTTCATTCAGAAGTCTAAGGGTTTTCTTGAGAAACCATGACAGAAGCCAGGTGCCAACTCCAAACATGTGCATGTCCTGGGAAGGTGCTGAGCGGTCTGTATGAGCTAGAGACTTTGACATCCGTGTGTCAGGAGAGCCAGACCCTGACTCACTGCGAGACGTATCCAGAGAGTTGAGGGAGAGGATTTCAAAGGCCATTTCTGCAGGCTGCTAAGCGCAGGTCAGTAAGTGGGCTTGACCTACTTGCTTGCTTCATCTGTTGGCAAGAGAGATTTCAGCAGTGTTTGTTCACTTACATCTCTGGTTCTTGTTGGAAATTTTAGCTTCTGAAACTCACATGCCACAGTCATACAGGGAAGTGTCAGCCCCGGATTCCTTTTTCTGAAACTTCAGCAGATTTCCCCTGGGTACCAAGGCGATTCAGGGCTGTATTGATTTCAGGGACTCAGTGCAGAGCTCTCACTGCGGCCTTCCGCTTGGTCAGTTCCTGTGGGGTCTGCTGCAGGCAGTGGCCACTGCAGTGGCCCTGATCACCAAGAGGAGCTTCTCCTCATCACGCGTTCAGTGTTTAGTCATCATTAAAGTATGTGAGTGCCATCATCAACCCATTTTATAAACGGGGATGGAGGCACAGGGAGGCTAAGCGTTGCCCGGGACACAAAGCTTCCTAATTCCCCAGGCCAGGTCCTGGCCCAGACCTGTTCAACCTCAGAGGCACAACACTGCAGGACTGTGCTGCTGCCCGCCCCCGAGGACACAGTTGGTGACACATAGCAAGAGGAAAAAGGACTTTATGAGACATTATAAAAAAGCTGCTTTATAGCTCCAGTCTTGACCCTAACTTCATCATGAGTAGTTTAAGATTTTTATTTTAGAGAACACAGACTCTCGGCTTCCTGCCCCCCAACCCCATTCCCACAGGACCCTGGATCTCCTGGACACAGCGCGCCACACTGGCTGCCTACACTGAGGAGCACAGCGCAGCTCCCTGGTGGTGGTTACTGCTTGGCTTGAGGGCCCGGGAGTGGCGTGTCAGGGTGCATGGTAGGATGTGCAAGTGACCTGAGGTGTTCACTGTTTTCTGCTCTGTGTTTTCCCTCAGGGTTGATTGTGAAGGAAATTGGTTCTTCCACCTCCAGCTCCTCAGAGACCGTGGTCAAACTTCGGGGCCAGAGTACTGATTCCCTTCCACAGGTACTAAAGGAACAGCAAATTTCACATAACAGCTGGAGTTATGGGAAATTTTAAATGAGAACTAAAATTTATGTTTACATGAATGAGTGAAAAAATTCACCCAAGGAGGTGATTCTTTTCCGATGCATACATTCATGTTTTCTGAATTTCTGTTTTGTTTGCTAGTTTCACTGTGGTTTTTATTTGAATAAGCTATGTATTTTATTTTATATTTTGTACGAGTGGAACCTGCTGGTGTTTAGGTTTTAGATTCACTATGTGCTCATGCATGTGCCTCAGTGGGTTGAGTGACCTCAGCAACCAGGAAGGCTAGTGTTCCTGATAGGTGTGTGATGGTCGAAATGTTTCCACACATGGTTATTCTGTTCAGATCAGTTTTTCGGTGTGCTGAGCTAAGGCATTTGACAATCTATGATCACTGGTTAAACTATTAAAATTACAAAGCTATAAGGTGAACTTCTCTGAAACTCATAGTGTTAGCGTTTGGATTTTATCTGTAGAAGGCCCCCAGGCTGGTTTCCAAGCACTCTCCCTTCTCTGCTTTTCTCTGTTCTCGTTTTTTCTGTTTTCTTTCTTTTCTCTGGCATGATGACTCTTTTTCTTTTTTATCTGTGCTTCCCTTTTTTCTAATTTTGTCTTTTTTTCTTCTGCCAAAGTATTTGTAATGAAAATGATATTCAGTGTTTTCTGAAAATTCTAAATATTCTTAAAAAGCATGCATCACGTGACCAATCTCCAGAGTGAGACTCCTAGGCTGCAGCCCAGCCCCGCTGCTCTCTGTTAGTCCTGCTGCATGGAGCTGGCCACGGGGTCAGTGGAGAAGTAGATCCCACAGCTACGGCAGGCAGAGATTAGTGTGCACATCTTGCGGGCTCTGCTGTGACCAGACTGTCCTATGTGTGAAGTCCCCTTGAGGCTGGGAAGACTCTTAGCAGTGCAAGGGTCATCCTACGCAAATGTCACTTAGATGCGACACCTTCTAGCAAAAGTCTCAGAACGTTCACCTCTAGCACAGTGTTACCTTATTTTAACAAGGTTGTCTTATAGTGCTGGGCAACAGTAGCTAGAGATACAGTGTCTAGTTTCTCTAAGTAACTCATTCATGAGCCTGTTTATGTTTCCCATCTCCACTTGGGATAAAGACTTCCAGAAGTCCAGCACCTGCCACGTAAAGCTTCCGGCAGTGTGTGGGCCCCTTTGCCTGTCCAGGAGCTGCTACCACCTCCTGACATGGGCCTCCCAGCCTTGCACCAGGGGTCTTTCTACTCCACCCAAGAACTCTGGCTCTCAAAAATCCTGCAAACTAATTTTGAAGGATAGTTGGTTTGGTTTTCCATTTTTTAAAATTTGAGTAATAACATCAGCATAAGACTTCAGCATAAGAGTGTTGGTGCATTAAATTACCATATCCTAGTGAAAAAAATATTAGCTTTACCTTTATGGACTTACTTTAAGATAATTTCTTAATCCCTGAAATGCAAGGGATAGTTGGATTTCCATTGGATCTGCATCTCTGTGCCTCAAGTTGTCTGTCTGTAAACAGCCTCCCAGGGCTGTTTGGAAGACTGAATGGATTATACGGTGACGACAAACCCCTAGGAGACGAGTGCCCAACCTGCAACCCAGACCCAATCATGTATCACAGAGTGCTAACACTGCGATGTTAGCTGAACTGAATACTGGAGATTTAAGTTTAGAAAATACAACTCAAACATCTTTTGTCTTAAGAGAAAAACAGTGTACAGCCCTAATTTTACCATCACCACCACGTTCCTTAGTACAGGTCAAGGGTGTAGGCGAGGGCTGGCACATAGTGAGCGCTCAGGAAACGGAAGCTGCTGCTGGTTTCAGTGATAGGGTAGAGGCGTATTTCCCACCAGCTCTCAGCAGCCGAAAAACCACTTTCTGACCTGAAAGGACGGCGTCAGCGTTTATGGCTTTGCAGGGTCTCTCTGCAGGGAAAGCATGCTAACCGTCACTCAGTCTGTACTCTCAAAGTATCAACCTTCCCTTATTTTTCAGACTACATGTCGAAAACCAAAGACCTCCACCGACCGACACAGCCTGAGTCTTGATGACATCAGACTTTACCAGAAGGACTTCCTGCGCATCGCAGGTCTGTGTCAGGACACAGCTCAGAGTTACACCTTCGGGTGTGGCCACGAACTGGACGCCGAAGGGCTCTACTGTAACAGTTGCCTGGCACAGCAGTGCGTCAACATCCAGGATGCTTTTCCAGTCAAAAGAACCAGCAAATACTTTTCCCTGGATCTCACGAGGGATGAGGTCCCAGAGTTTGTTGTATAAAGTCCATCCGTGCGCAGCCTCGAGGGGAACTTGCTGTTTGCCGGAGGCCGGAGGAGTCCTGGGTTCTGTACGATTACTTGTGCCATATTGTCTTTACCCCAAACATAGCTCTTTCTTTATAATATTTGTGATGGAAACAAAAGCCTTGGGACGATTGCACTTTAAGTATTATGCAAAGATAAAAAGAACTAGAGAATGTACAGCAAGACAAGTGCCCACGTGTTGACTCTTTGGGAGAAAACGTGCTTTACTGGTTTGAAGCCTTAGACTGCCAGAGTATGGTATTTGTTGCTCATTTGTCTTTCTTACTTCAGTTAAGCGCAGCGCCTTTATCACGTGAAGGATGTTAGGCGTCTCTGTTTGCTGAACTTTGTTTCACTCCTCCCTCCTGAAGCATTCATGGTCTGAGGGAGGAGAGAGGGAAGGGTCTCTCTTCTTTGACGGAGAGACCACTGCTCGGTGACTGGCGGCCTCCCTGAGGCTGTCCCAAAGTGAACACTAGCAGAATGACCAACCTGCGTTTTTATAGCAAGCCAAAGATCTGTGCAGAACGGGAGCACCGCTCAGAGCCAAGATGGTGCAACTTAAGCAATAACCAGGAGACTGTGCTTGATGTCTTGTGGCCCCTCATGTTCTCTTCCAGAAAGCTCTTGTTCTTCCTCGTGTGACAGATGAGTTAGGTTGTGACATAATTCGTTTTTGTAGAGTTTACAAACTGGTGTGTAGTAAGACAACAGAAAGCTCTCAAAAAAATAGTTGGATTGTTTTGTTATTTTTACTTAACAAAGTCAAGTTATGGTGATGCTAGTTTGTGCTTAACCAAAATACCCTAACTCTGTGTATATGTTATACATATAAAAACACATGGAACTGTGCGTGTTTATAGGTGCCTGGAGCTTACTAACTTCATTTTGGCTCTCATGACTGTGTTGCATTCCTAGAGGTCCTTCTGCAGTACGGAAGAGTTGTCACTGAGTGAATGCCACCCACAGATAATCGGTGTCGATTGTGTGTTAAGAGTGACCTTTTCCTCGTGTGCCTTGGGCCATGATTCTCAAGTCTGAGTGCATCATAGGATTCTCTGAGGAGCTTTTAAAAGCAGTAATGTCGGGGGCCCACTCCAGACCAGATAAGTCAGTCTCTGGCGGGCAGCACCCAGGTGGAATTGCCTTTTCTTTCAAAGTTTTCTACCTGGAGCTAAAACACAACAGGTTTGAAAACCACTGATCCACAGGGTGTCATTTTGTTAATTGTGAAGTAAAAGTAGGCAGGAGACGTAGGGAAAGGGCCACTTAAGCAAGGGCCACTGTTGCGCCGCTGTGACCATGCGCCATGAAGCCAGCCAGGGTGACCCGTCCGCGGGCCTTCCGTGTGCAGGAACAGCGCCGCTCACCCTTCCCGACAGAGCTTCGTAGCACAATGTCTTTCTATGGGATGTTTTTAATGATTTCGTATTTTACAACATTTGTTTACCATATTTTGATATACCATTTTTGCTATCTGCCAGGTTTTATTAAAAAAAAAAACTATGTATTATTTTCTAAAGAAACACTCATATTTTTGTACAAAAGTATGCTTTCAGGTACCAAGAAATAGCTGTAGGGTAGAACAGGGCGTCCCGTAGTGTTACCTGCGGAGAGGAGGCCGGCTCCACACAGACAGTGCCCGTGACCGCGCTGACTCGTGCAGGGCGCCTCACCCAGGGAGTCTCGCCGGACACTAAGAGGGAATGAAAAGTTCTGCATGGTTCTAAATTCATGAAATTATTTTGCTTTCAGTAAATGCTTTAAGAAAAAAAAGAAAACCAAAGTTTGATACCAGAATGTACAAAAGTTTCACTCTTTAGAGAAGGATAAAAAACGAAGGGATCATTTCATGACTGTTTGGCTTCTCAGTCACTAAATAATCCACTGTTTCTTAGGGAGCAGTGGTGGCGAACCCGCATGCCACAGTGGGCTGCGTGTGTTATTGAAAACTAAAAGGTTCACCATCACTGCATGATGCTTAAGAGACAAATCCTGTTGTAATTATTCCAAAAAGCCCAGATCATAATGCCGTGCATTTTCTTAGCCCTTAGTATTTCTTGCAAAACATTAAAAAAAAAAAAGTATTTAAATGAACAGGTAGTGCTTTGTACTTTTTCTCTACTTCAACCAGAATCGTTGGATTTTGCCAGCATTTGGTGGTTTTGCACTCCCTCTTTCTAATTGGATTTATGAATAGTGGGTTTTCAAAAATGAAACATGCCAGGAAACATTTTTTTTCCTTTTGACCTATTGTTTGCAGCAGAATTATATATACGTGTGTATGTGTGTATATGAAAATCCACTTTCAATCTACATTTTTGTATTTGGAAATTGTTTTAAAAAATAAAAGTATAAAACTGTTATTTATTCTGCATTTGTTACATAGCCTTTATAAGTAATATACCAGTTTGGTATATATTGCCTCTATACATCATTTACATTTGTATTTGCAAGAATGAACTTTGTATCTACATAAACTGTAAATAATCCTTTCTGTGAAAGGATCATACTGGCATGATACCAAAAGTATGTAAAAAAGAAACCCGCATTGTTTTGTAATTATTTCTTATTGGCATTTCATGGTTAAGCTTAGCAGTCAATAAAGTTACTTTGTTTTTGCCTTTAAGGTGTCTTTTATTACTAGAACCCTCAAGCAAGAAAGATGAAATGAATCTTAATTTCTGTTGTCTGCCCGCCCTACAGTGGAGCACGTTAAAGGTCTCATGTGACAAAATTCCAAGCAGACTGTCCCCAGTGGTGAGGATGATGAGATACTGAGTGCTACCATTTGCCAGGCCCATTCATGCATTTTAGAATTAATCCATCCCACCCTCGTAATGTATAAGGCAGGCACTGTCAGATAGAGATCTAGGGTCCTAGGAAGTGGCCACTACTCATCCCAGTGTGGCATGAAGGATCCATACCAGCAGGCTGAGGGTTCTGCACTGGAACCAGGAAGCAATGCTCAAAAGTAAAGACCAGGGCTCCCCCAAAAGGTACCACAGCCATCCTCAGCGACAAGGAGATTCCAAGCTCCTCCATCAGTGAGAACTGCTGAGCTCATATCAGGAAGCCAGTATGACAAGCTTCGGGAAGTTAAACAGCTCACCACCTTCCTCTCCAGAGCCAAGAAGTGATGCTCAAAGTAAGGACTGGAGCTCCCCTAAAATGAACCACAGCCATTCTCGGTGATGACAAAGTCCTGAGCTCTGAACAGCCAAGTTCATGTCATGAAAGAAGCTCGACAAGGTCCTTCAAGAGAATCAATGGCAACAGGAGAACCAACAGCACCAAATGACGACACTTAGAACCCACAACGCTACTCTTCCTCTCCAGTTCTGCTTTTTATGTTGTTGGCAACAATCCTCAGGTGAGCCCTACACACCCAGCACTGTGATTCAGTTCAAGGGGTGTTACAAGTTAACCACCAGCTGTCAATCTGCCACAACCTTGCTCCAGTTTTCTTGGCTATAAAATGGGAATAGTAATCCACAGGACTGTTTGAAGAATTCAGATTAATAGTGAAACATTCATATGAGACAAAGCTACTTGGCCATTTAGAAACAAAGTCCAAAGCCAAAGCATTCTATTGGGATGTCACTCATGCATTTTTTTTTTTTTTTCAGATTACCTGAAGATTTAAGTTGGAAACGATGGAAAAATCATCCGGTCGCCTATTGTGTACCTGTTGGTGTGCACATTGCATTGAGTGCTCACAATCCCTTCCGGCACGGTCATCCTCACTTCACAGCTGGGGAACAGCTAAACTTGCTCGAGATCCTGCAGCTAGCCAGTGAAGGGACACAGTTTTAAGCCCAAATCATGTCCTAAGCTTTTTCTGTTACACTATGCCATGTTACCTCTTGGCCTTAGAGAAAGCTTAGAACCTAATAAGATGGCCTCACAAATTTGGTAGTGAGATTTATTTGCTAATCATTGTGTACATATATATATATATATATCTTTTTTGTCATTCGTGCAAGAGTTACTGGGTCATTGCTTTGGTGGAGGAAGGAAAGACCTAGGATGAAGAATGGAAAACAGGAAGATGACAGCAGGAAAAACGAGGGCTGGATGGGGACTTTTGGTACGATAGGGTGACATAACAGACCATCCAGGCAAAGGCTTTAAACCCAGAGAACAATAGTCATTCAATGGTACTGCAGGACTCTTGGGCTTGAGTACTCACTCTCCAGCCTTGTCCTGCAAGGCCTAAGCAGCCCAGATGAGGACACTGAGGGTTTTTTCTAGATGCGGGAGGCTCTAAAGGGAGTTGTAAATGAAGACACGTTTGGAGAGGGAGAGAAATGAGAATAAAGCTTTCAAGAGGGCTGGGAGGCCACAAGGCTAGAGAGACGGGTTCTGAACTAAGGGTGTGGCGGAAGACAGAATCAGGCCTGAGTGTAGTCATCATCTAAACTAAAAGCAAGAGACGTAGACTATTTTCCTACACCAAAGAGCAAGCTACTGCTTTAGGTTATGAACTAAAATCTACTCAGCGTGAATGTTTTGTTAAAATTGGCACATTGGTCACGCCTACTCTCTATCACCGTTCTTAACTCTGGCTGCTGCAGTGGCCTGGAGAGCAGAACAGCAATGCCTGCAGCCCAGCCTGGAGCTTCCGAGTGCCTTGCTTTGGGGTGTTAATGTGGCAGGGTCTCGACCCATGGGTCCACAGCTGAGCCCCAGTTGCTGGGGTCAGTTCACTTCCACCCCCAACTAGCATCCACCTTACTCAGAGTGGGTGGTTCCCCCGGTGTCCTAGTGCATTGCATTTTGAGAGCATTGATTATTTTGTCCACAAAGCTATCTGAGAAGGGAACAAAGTTCAAATGGGCACTGGAGTCAACATTTCAAGTACTAAGTGACGCCCACATTTTAGAGATACGCGTGTTACGTACAGTACGTGGGGCTGTTCAGCTCAATGCAAGGGCGGAGATGAAGCACAGTAAAATACTTTACATAGAAGCCTCTCCCTGTCATTGTTTTATTTGCCTCATCATTTCTTGGATGCTTCCTCCAAGCTGATCCTCACAGAGGGATATAATGAAAATAAGTCAGCTAAATCACCCAGCCCTTTGATTTTGAAGACAGGCATTCTGAGTTAATGGAGGAGGCTGACCTCTGAAAAGTCTTGCTCAAATGCTGGGAGCCATTGTAGGTGATGAAGTTATAACCCCTCAAGAGATTAATCAAAAGTCTATAAACAAGGCACAGCTATAATCAACCAACTCATTACCTGGGGTAGGTGTTTACCCATCTGGTGTCAGCTGCCGCCCGTGAGGTCTCATCTGTGTGTCACTGTCATCACTGTAAGAGATGGATTTCATAAGAACAGACAGTTCCCAGTTTAGGAAGGAATTGTGTTCCAAGTTTGCTTCTAAATTGGTTGTCTGACATTTAGAGCCCGCATCTCCAACTTCTCTACGTTATGTAGCCCACAAATGCCTGTTTAACCCAGAGGTGTTACCAGGGATGATTTGTCATTCTGAGTGTTAGTAACCTTCTGCCAAAGAAGTGATCCACAGCCGTGGTATAAATGGCAGTGAGAGGAGACCCACAACCAGCTAAGCCCACACCCACATTCCCTGTGCCCCAGTAGCTCAGTCATCAGGATTTACTGTGTACAGCTCCTCCATGCCCAACTATACTAAAAATTAAAAGAAAAAAAAAAGCACCTAGCAAAGCAAGTGAAGAAGAAACAGCATAAAGTAGCTGTCCCAGGTCGCCTTCTTCCCCTGACCTCCAGCCCACAGCCCCTCAAGGCTGCTCTGCCTCTGTGAGTCGGCTGGAACAGGCCCTCTTCTCTTGATTCGCAAACACTGAGAGGAGACCTAGGAGCTGCTCAAAGAAGCGGAAGCTGCAGGTCTTTCTGTGCCTGGATTGCTGCCGGGCAGGAGTGAAGTTAAGGGGCCTCCGTCAGAGTCTGCGGTATGAATGTGTAAGGCCATACAGTGTACAGGAAGATGGAAAAGAAGACCTGAATAAGTCAATATACCATGTTCCTACAAAGAGAGATGCAGTCATGTAAATGTCAATTGTTCCCATCCTTTGCAACCCAAATCCCAAGTGAACCGTGTCAGTCATGGTGGAATGATAAGGACCAGTTTTACCAACCCACCTTAAATAACTTTTAAAAAGAAAAGCACATGTATAAAATAAAATGTTTTCAGTCTCTGAGGACTGGTAACACAGCAGAATTATTCCCCAAAGAAAGGATACAAGGTGAATATTATCACCACCCCTGCTCATAGCCTCCGACCGCAGCCCAGAGAGGAGGACAAATAAACCAAACTCTGAAGAGCACTGAAGAGAGTCACTGGGGGACAAGGACGCTGCCCAGTCCAGCAGCTTAGTGGTCCAGGGCCTCAGGTTTCATCCAGATATGGCCACAGCAACCAAAAGGAACACGAATTGTGTTCCATTTTCCAGCATATGCAGGAAGCTCAGTGCCTTTTGTTTTCTTTTAAATGTCATATTCTTCTCAGGAAATTCAAAAAGGAAAAGAATCCCACACAATATAGAGAATAACCTAATAGAGGAAACAACCTACTATTAATATTGTCAAAGAGAAGCTGTCTGACTCAGAAAATTGGAGACCAGTGGATAGATGTAGCGATAGACTTATGAAAGCTCTGCAAAATGTGATAGCCAAAATAAACGTCTAATAGAAGAGTTGGAGGATCAAGGGAATCGCTCAGAGAGTAGAACAAGAAGACCATGACAGAAAGGTACTGAGTTTCCCAGCACACAGTGGTAGGCATTAATGTATCTGCACACACAGAGCTAGCCGGTGCCTATGAGCATGCACGGAGTGGCAGAATCTTACAGGAAAATCCCTCAGAACTGGAAGACAGGCATTTCCCAACTAAGGGGAAAATGCAAGGAATGTCCAGAAGAATGAGCAAAAGTGACCAATCTGGGAAGATTATTATCATATGTGTTTGCAGTACCTAACGTCTGCGTTCCTTGTGAGGAGCCGGTGCATGTGCAGAACACACCTTCATTCCTTTTTATATCCTCTTTTCCTTCCCTCCCTCTCTAGATCCCCTTCCCATGTGACAAAGATCTGTCTCCCAACTTTCTATTATCTATCTTTGGTTTTGCTCTTTATTTATACTTGGTTTATGTCAGTGGCCGCCCAGCCTCATGAATTATGGACTCAACCAAATCTAGCATTTGTGATTAGCTCACTATCTAGCACTCAGATTGGTGGTATGAGTGCCACACCTACCTAGGGGTGGAGCCAGGATATGATTTAATGGCGGGAAGAAGGTGTGTCCTCTCTCTTTCCCTTTCCTGCCTTGCTGTTTGCAGCTGTCATGAACTTCGACCCTGCAATACTACCCTGCCTTGGAGCCAGCTGAGTATGGACTGAAACCTCCAAGAACTATCAGAAATAACTCTTTCCTTCTTTAACTTTGGGCATCAGGTATTTTGTCTCTCTGACAAGTAAAAAGTAACTAAGACACTTGGGTATCATACATGTTTTTTTTTAATTTTATTTAAGGAGAAAAAGAAAAAAAACAGAAAAAGGGTACAAGTTATACAGAATTTCAGAAAGAATAAACAGTAGGAAATCACTAGTTAATAGATTACATATTATTATCTTAGAAATAGTTGTTCAAGTTACAAATTTAAAGCATATAAAGTGGACTTTCAAACAGTGAGACTGCAAACAGTTCAATGATCCAACAAAACTCAGTAATATGGTTATCTATCTTATACATTTAAATATATATACAGTTATATCCTTTAGAGCACTTTCTTTTCCTTTCTTTTGTACAATGACAATTACACATTTTGGGTTTTATTACTCCCACAGTTATTATTACTTTTTTTTGAAGAGAGTAAAACCAAATGTGACATAACAGAACAGTCAGTCAAATCAAAAGAATGGACATAATAGATAATGTACTAGTACAAAATACTAGGTGATCAACAATGGTTACCATACTGCCTCTTGCTATCTTAAAAAGAATTGCTTATATCATCAGTTACAATAAAATTGAACAAAACAGTAAAGAATAAAACCAAAACATTGGAGACATTACAGGACTTTAAAAGAAGGTAATAGTCAACCGGAATGGACTTCATAATGAGTCTTATTATCTTCACAGTTTTGCCTATACTTTCTAACTTGGTACTATCAAGCAAAGCAGAATAGAGGAAAATCAGTCAAAGCAAGATGGTGAGGGCTATACAGGGTTTCAAATCAAGTTAATAGGAAAGCAAAGTAGGTTACTATAATGTATCCTGCTTTTTTAAAATTTTCCCTTAATTAAAAAGATAAAAATAAAAAAGTAAATAATTTTTAAAAAGGAGATTTAGATAAAAGAGGGCATAACAACAAAACACTGCAGGTCAAAGCATAACCATTTAAGCAAAATAGTGTTTCACCACAAGATATCCTGACATAAAAGTAATTACCATAGTGTCTCTTTCCTTGAAATCTTTGAGTATAACTTTGTATACTGTAGCATCAAACATATCAAGACAATGTAAAACCATTCAAGAGAATGACAGTATTACAGGGTATTTAGAACCAACTATCAGAAAATGAACAATGGTTTCTGTATAATTTCCTTGTCCATAAAAGTTTTTGCTTATCTTATCACATATAATAAAATCCAATAAGATACAACCTGTTAAGACTGATGGAGACAGAAGAATAAAAGCTTGATGGGACTTCAAAGCAAGATGATACTAAATCAGCACTAGCTATTATGATGTCTTGTTTTCTCCAAAATAGCTGTTCCTACCATCCAATCTTTTCTGCCTCATTTCTCTTGAGCTCTTTTTCTGTCGTTTGTTGTCAGTTTATCTTCTTCATTTTGCTTTCTGCTCCATTCATTGTGGCCTCTCTGCCACTGTTTCTGAAGTCTTGGTATTTTCCTTTTTTAGAATATCCTGCAGTATTCTCTGTAGAGTTGAATTGGTGGTTGCAAATTCCCCTAGTTCCTCTTTATCCTGGAAGCACCTTGTTTTTCCATCAATTTCTAGGGACAGTTGTGCAGGATATATCAATCTTGGCTGGAGGTTGTTATCTTTCAAAGCTTGAATTATTTCCCCCTATGCTCTTCGTGATTTGATGGTTTGTGCCAAGAAGTCTGCTGTAATTCTGATGGGTGTTTCCTTGTAAGTGATCTGTTTCTTGTCTCTGACGGCTTTTAGTAATCCTTATATTGGATTTCTGGAATTTTGATTATTATATGCCTGGGTGTAGTTCTGTTTGGGTCGTAGGTGGCTGGGGTCCTGTATGCCTCATACATCTGAGTATCTTTACCTTTTGCTAAATTAGGGAAATTCTCTTGGATTATTTCTGTGAGTAGCTTTTGTAGTCCATTTGTTTGTGTCCCTACTTCTTCTTTTATGTTCTTAATTCTTAAGTTATAGATCCTCTTATCATCTTCTAGCCTTTGTATTATTGCTGTTTGTTTTCTTGTTATTTTTAAGAAGTTTTTCATTTCATGCTCCCACATTACAAATCTGCCCTCCAGTTCAGATAACCTATCCTTAGTTTCTTTCAAGCTGTTATGCCAGCTTTCGATAGAGTTTTTAGTTTCCTGGCAATCTCTTTGAACCTGCTTCACGTATTCTATGTTTTCTCTATTTTCTCCATCAAACAATTCTCCCCTTTTTTCTGTTCTTCCATTCTACCATCTGTTTTTTCTTGGGTGGTGCTTAGTATTTCTCTAAGTATTCTACTTATATCTTACTTTATTTCATTAAATACTTCTCTTTTGAACTCATCTATGAGGCTCCAGAGATATCGCTTTATGTCTGTTGGTGCTGTGTCTGATATTGCATGTTTTCTGTCCTCATTCTCCTTTGCATTCATCTTTCCTGGGTCAATGTTCTCAGGAATGGGGACTGAGGACCCTTTCTTGTTGCTTCCTCTTCCCATACTTTTTGTTCCTAACATACAAGGGAATATAGGAGGCCCAGTTTTTTTTCTTTTTGTTGGTTATAGTTTGTTTGAATTGCACTGGCTAGGTGTTCCTGCCCACTGCAGTGTACTAGGGAGACACAGACCTGGGCAGCCTCTGCTGAGCCTGCCCCTCCAGGTCAACCTACTGAAGGCTTCATTGCTAGGGTGCACCACCAGGTGCTGGGACCTGGTTTGGGCTAGCCTACTGGGTCTTAGTCAATGGCATCACCCAGGCCAGGCACTCCCCACCAATCCTGCTTGAGAGGGGAATATGCGACTAAAGTTACTGCAGCGTCCTGTTCTGGCAAGTCTGCCTGGTCCCAGTATGTCCTTTGCTGAAGCCTCCTACTCTATGGAAGGGTCCCCATTCCGCTCACTCACTGCAGGTTGATGCAGGGCTCCCTGCCAGTCCCGTTCTCAACTCCATTCGCCGAGTCCCACTCTCAGAGTTTTCGCGCATCTCTCTCCCTGCTGTGCCGATTTGGACGCGGCAGCGGCAGCAGGAAATTGAAATTGCGGCTTCCAATGGCGTGGGATCCAGCTTCCGTACTGAGATTTTATCTGTTCCTGTTATAGCACTAGGATTGCATTTCCAGTTGGTTTCTCTCAGCTTAGTTCGTTCCTGGGTCAGCAGGGTATATCTCTCCTTGCTTAGGACTCCTCAAACTGCCCCATTCCTGGATTCTAAGCAGGATATCTCAGAGAGCCTCCGTAGCTGCTGCTATCTATCCGCCATGTTCTCCCGGAAGTCAATACCAAACAATGTTAAAAGATCCTAAAGGAAAGATCCAGAATTTTCTCAGCATATTTTTAAGAGCCAGAGAGTGAGTTTTATACTTCTGTGAAGGACATAGGACAATGTGATGATGCAGGCATAAAATGACTAAGCAAACAGAAAGAGAAATTAACAGTAAAAACATGGAAGAAAACCATGGTCTTGGTACACTACAGGGCCTGACAATGCACACTTCCCTATTCATAATATAAACACTGTTAAAATAGCAACTTAATAAAAACTATCGTATAAGTTTTGGAAGGGGAGGAACATTCTATGTGGAGTGGCAAGAGAGAGTAGATGTATTCAAAGTGCTACAGTCTGATCTCTCATAATGGGGAGTTAATAATGCGCCAAATTGAAAAGGCAGTAGGCAACTATTATAAGAACATTATTAGAAGTACGGGTAAATACTTTGCTTTTAAAACCAAGGCTGTTAAAGATTGAAACCATGGGTTTCCCGGCTTGAAAGCAATAATGTTCAGGAAAGACAGAGAAATGCTTTATAGTAGCCATGTAAATGAATTTTAAGCTATGTAAATGCATTGACTACTTGGATTATAAAATCATTTTAAAGAGATAAAAATGACTTTGGTTCTAGCACTGGACACTGTGAGTGACCCTCATTTCCCAGAACCTTCGAGAGAAGAGGGATATGGAACGAGAAGGGGTGGCTGGCAATTCGGCTCTTTTTGAGCAGCGGGCTGTGGGCCTGGCCCCTTGTGGCCAGGGTGGACAGCTTGTGGGACCTCAGCCAGGCGGTGTGGTGGAGGAAGGCTGCTGCCCCCACACGCTCTGGGCTATTCTGGGAGCCGCTGGGATATTCATGAAGGAGCCTCAGGGGAGCTGTCTGCAGCAAAGGTGTCAGGAGCCGGGCATTCCCCTCCCCCGGGCACCCCGGGAAGCACGTGTCAATGCCCAGCGAGAGCGATCGGCTCTCGTTTCCCTGGCACGAGCAGCCAGCAGATGGGTCTCTGGTAACCCAAGGCCCCGGTTGAAAAGGTCCAAATCAATTGCTCCACCTGGCACTGCGGCTGCGGCTGACTCTGGTTTCAGCCACAGGCCTCTGGGGGCTAACGACAAAACAGTGGAGCTGAAAGAAGCCAGAAGCGAGGAGCTGGCATTCTAGGAGGGGCAGGAGACACGAAGGGTGGGGGATGCTGCAGCCAGGACGGGAGGAGAGGGTAACTGGGACACCGGGGATCACTCTCGCCCTTAGCTTGGGGCTCACAAACTTCACTCTCAGGAGCCCCAAAGGAGCTTTTCTAAGTGCAGATCAACTTCTAGGTCTCCCCTATCCACTAGTCAGAACCTTAAGGCACAGCTCCCGGTCCTGACCACCTCTGACACTTGCTATGCTAACTGTGGGCCCCAGAGACGGCCCCTTCTCTCTACCTGAGCTCTCTTCCTGCTTAGAACTTCAGTTTCTAAGGGAACTGTCTGAACCCCAAGGCTGTCAGAGGATACTGTTAAAAATCTGACTTTGAAAAATCTGACTTTGGTTTTATTCTCTTCAAAAAAAAGTAATAAGAACTGTGGGAGTAATAAAACTCAAAATATGTAATTGTCATTGTAAAAAAGAGGAAAAGAAAGTGCTCTAAAAGATATATCTGCATGTATATTTAAGTGTATAAGATAGACAATGATATTACTGAGTTTTTGTTGGATCATTAAACAGAACTGTTTACAGTCTCACTGTTTGAATGTCCACTTTATATGCTTTAATTTTGTACCTGAACAACTGTTTCTAAGATGACAATATGTAATCTGTTAACTAGTGATTTCCTACTGTTTAATTTTTTTTGAAATTCTGTATTACTTGTACCCTTTTTCTCCTTAAATAAAATTTTTTAAGAATCTGACTTCCATAGGTGCTTGGCAGTACCCATCTGTCAGGAATTCATGCTGCCTTTGTCGCTTTCCTCATCCCTGGGACAAAGTACCCAGCACTTACAACTTAAAGGAGGAGAGGTTATTTTAATTCAAGTTTTTGGTCCAATAGTCAGCCAGCTCCAGGCCTGACAGTCATGACAGAAGGGACTGGTGTAGGAGAGCTGCTCACATCATGGAGACCATGACATAGAGAGGAGAGATAAGCTGGAGAGGGAGCTGGGTGACACCCTAACATCCCGCCTTCCCAGCCAGGCCTGTGCCACCCCCTTCTCAGAGCACAGTGAGCACAGAGCTCTTAGGGACATTTAGACGTTAATCCTGACACACAGGAGAGACCACTCTTCTGAGTGGGGCAGCGGCAGTTTCAGAGATCTTGGCCAGTTTGCACTCCCCTGTCCATCTTCAGTGAGGACCTCTGGGAGGTGACCGAGATTCACAGCTGTTTCTTTCCACCCCCAGAGCCTCCAGGTTTGGGGCAGCTCAGTGGAGGCCATCCATCTGTGGCTGGCCAGGCTACAGGGCCAAGAGAAGGTACCAAAATGGAAAGTACTTGCAAAGGCTCCTGGGAACAACAGCTCTGCCTGTGTGCCCAGCGTGGGGCCAGATGAAGGGGCGCTGGGAGGCTTTGAGGAGCTTGTTCCCCTAAGGATGGATGGATGGGAAATGGAGCCAGTTTTTAAAATGTGAGCTACTAGATGCAGTATTTAGCTTCCTAAGTCCCCATCGCTGATCACTTCTTTGGGTATTAGTATTTGGAGTTGTAAACTCCTCTGACCCTAGTCCAAAACAGATTTCTTATTTTTATGAGTATGCGTTGGCATGCATAATGCCTACATTCCTCGCAAGAAGCTGGTGCATGGACACAACGCATCTGCATTCGTTTTTTTGCTCCTCCTGCCCCTCCCCTGCCTTCCCACCGCCCCCCTCTTCTCTGATCACCTTCCCATTTGAGAGGAGGTCCAATCTTAAGACGGATTCTGCAGGCTTTGGGTCGTACTTTCCTCACACTCTTCCTTATAATATAGCTGCCAGGACACCGAGGAGTAGCTCTGGGAGTAGACGTTGTCTTCACCGCAGCAGACAACAGACAAGGATGACACTGAGCTCTAAATCCAGGGTGTTTCTCCTGAGCCCTGAGGAGGACGGAGCACAGCAAAGAGATGCAGGGTGCCGAAGAGGGCTACAGAGCTCAAAGGGGGCCGGGGCAGACAGGATAGTACCCATCCTCAGCCTGCACCTGGTGGCCAGGACTCCCTTCACCCCTAACCTCTTCGCCCCAGCTGGGGTATTTATGAACTTGGCCAGGAGCAGCTGTTTCTCTCCAGGTATGGCAACAACCACACAACAAAGCCACTGTGGGCCAGAGGGGACAGGGCCTGAGATGAATCCTAGCTGCCTGCTGCAGTCTGACTCTTGGACGTGACTCTGGAAGCCAAAGGCTTACTTGGAGGGAACCCCCCCACACACGCTATCCCCAGCCCCGGTTTGAGCCGCAGCAGCCAGCATCTTCTGCTCAGTGAGTTCCTTGACTTCCTGCATCAAAACTACTCAAAGAGCCAAGCAGGGTGGTGTATGGGTGGGGTCCTGGCATTGTAGGAGGCTGAAGCAGGTTCACAAGTTCAAGCCCAACCTCGGCAGTTTAGCAAGCCCTTGTCTTAAAGTGTAAAAAATGTAATAAATAAACAAAAAGTAAAAAAGAAGAAGAGGAAGAACCACTCAAAGAGTTCACATGACGGGAAGGTTCTTGGCCCAACATCACCCTGCAGAGTAGAGCTCCGAGCAGGTCAGGATGCTGTGTTCTAGAAGCTCCCCTCGCCCACCTTAATTCTCAAGGTAGCAAAAGGCAGTGAGGGACCTTACCTGACCCCAGGCAGCTCCGAGTGTCCACCCAGTCTGTTATAAACCTGAAAGGAATCCCACGGGCAGGCCTGGGAGGAGCAAGCGCTCCTTTTGGAGTGACTTTTGTATGTTCCTGGCTGTAGGCTGACCTCTGCTGGCCAGGAGGGAGCACTCTGGCCAAAGGACCCAGGATGCTGGGCTTCCTGCAAACCCCTGGGCAGAGGCTCTTGTCAGGATCAGGAATAGCTAGGGAGGGGTGCGAGGTGGTTTTCAGAGTCTCCAAATTCCTGATTTTGCCTTTGTTGCTTAATTTTCTTGTTGGCTCCCCTCCACTTGAACATTTATAGCTGACAGTTATACTACATTTCATCCGAGGAGGTACAGGAAAAAAAAGCCTGTACAGAGAAGCTGGAGTTTTTAATATTAATTGTTTAAGGGTTTTTTTTTGGGGGGGGGCAGTGACCACCTGACAACAGACACGCCTGCAAAGGCCTGTCTGTGGCTTCTGTCATTCACGCCACTGCCTCCCTCTTGGGCAAGGATCACCTGAAGAGCACGAGATGAGCTCCCCTGTCCCCAGGGCAGCCCCTTCCATGTCCCAGGGTCCCCTTGCTGCAGCTTCTCCCAGCATGCAGATGTGGAACCCGCTCTACTCTCGAGGGCTCAGTCTCTCGGGATGAAAATGGCCAGAAATCTCTTGAAAGACATTCTTTAAGGTTTTATAACCAGCACATGTGGATATTCTGACTTTCAGGATAAATCATAAGGTGCTTTGCATTTCTACAATTGAGATCCAGATTCAGTTCACAGCATTATTATTGTGAAGTCCCAGGAGGAATGGGGCCCAGACACAGCCTCAGAACCCAGGGTTTGGAGGTCGGGCAGGCTGCTGTGCACAGTCATTTAACACACGCTAGCCAGTGTGCTGTGCAAGGCAGGTACTGAGCTGCATTCGGAGAAGATGAAGAAAAGGGGGGCGCGTTGACCCTGTCCTCCAGGGAAGCTCGGTCTCGTGGGAAGCCATGGAAAGTCCTGTAAACCAGATGTGACTCATCGAGAATTCATCTAGCCTAATATTGTCAATTTCATTAGCATGTAATCTTATCTGGATCTCAAAATACTCCTTGGGGGAGGTTCTGTTGTCAGTCCTCATTTTATAAATGAGAAAACCAAGTCCTAAGAATGACCAGATAGTTCGCCCAAGGTCAAATAGTTGGCAGGTGCTGGAACTGTCACTGGACCCCAGGTCCTCCTGGCTCTGGAGTCCATGCTGGTGATAAGTTCCACCATGTGACAAATCCCACCAGGTGACAAGGTCCTCCAAGTTCTTCCACCTGGAACCTTGTTCCCACCACTCTTTTGCTTTGGGTCAACTTCTCACACTCTCACTTAGAAAGTTCTCTCTGGCCACCCACCCACTGTGACATTCTTCCCTCCAGTCTCAAAGTCTATGGTGCCTGGCCAATCTCACCCCACGCCACTCCTCCCGCCCTCTTAGGACTCTCTCCCTCCACGGCCTTCCTTTAGGTCCTAAAATCATCACATTCCCCTCGTTCTCTCCCTTTAGTCTATGAATATGCCAAAGGCTCGCCACGTCTAAACAGATCCACAAGCCAAACCCAACAAAGCGAAAGCCTCCTCTCTCTCTCGGTGTCCAGCTCCACCCTGTCCATCCGTCACCTGCCTCCCTTTCTGTTTTCCTCCAGAAGATAATTTGCCCTCGTTTCCTCCCCTTTTTCAACCTCATCTTCGGTCCCTTTCCATCTGGCACCCAGTCACCGAGTCCTTTCCAGCCCCGCCTTGCTGGGCCTCTGCTGTCTTTGCAGCTGTGGGCTCCCTGCTCCCCAAGGGGCTCTGCGACTTGGTGTCCATGGAAACACTCTTCTGGTTTTCTTTGTGCCTCTCAGCCCTCTCCTCTTGGTTTCTTTCTAACAGCTTCTCTTCTGCTCTTCATCCCTTAAATGTGATGTTGCCAGCTCTTCCTCCCCGGCTATCTCCTTCCAAGGTGAACCCACTGCCTGCCACCGTCTCCCGGACTTTGTGTCCTCACTCAGGCTTAGGGTGCCGGCGGCTCACCTCCACCCAGGTGTCTTCAGAGCACCTCCAGCCCAGCATACCCAACAGTTCCCTCAGCCAGCTGCACTCAGAAATCGTCCTTGGCACCTGACATTCCATTCTTTGACAGGGCCCTCGTGTGCAGGGCTTCTTGATGTTTCCTCTGTAAACCTTTCACCAATAACCTACTCGGGTCACCATTGTCCTGTTCCCAAATCATCACAGTAATGTCCCAAGCAGTCTCCCTCAGACAGGAACAGCCATCCTAGCTCTGCTCTCCACCTAGAAGTTTCCACCATCTATTAAAATACAAGCACCTGCATTAAACCCCGCAGTGCCATCCAGCGCCCAGAGCAGGAGCCCAGCCTTTGGCACGGTGCTGGGCAGCCCTGTGACCTGGTGACCGTGCTCACCCTCTGGTTGGACTGAGAGTTGAGGTCGCTGCTGGGATTTTCAGTTCTTCACTTGGACCCCTGGGATGCGGCTCTCCGCAGAGAATGTCTTTCCTCTCCCCCTCCCCATCCCTCAAGCCACCCAAGCCAGCTTCCCTGTGTTCCTTCAGTCATTGGGAATCTCCTGTGAGCAGCCATCCACAGCCTTACATTCAGATTCCATTTGTCTACATCACTTTTGCTCAAGATTTCATAGGGAAGACGACGATGCCTGATTTAAGGACGGGGTTCTAATGAACTTAAGCACCCACAATACTTGTCTTGTTTGCAAAAAGAGATTCATGAGCCACTGAAGAATTACCACAAGTGTTTCAGGTTCCCTAACCAACCTTTTGCAAGATATTCAGAGCTTCATGAGGAGAAAGGATGTGGAAAGAAAACCAACACTCGTCAGCAGAGGGCGCCCTAGAGCCCTGGCTCGGGGGACCACGGGACCAGGTCCAGGCCCGGGCGTGACTGGGAAAGGATGGGGATTAAGATCCACTACCAGGTCCCGATCCTGGAAGAACCACAACAATAAACTGTATCTGAAGTGGACACGCCACAGCAGACAGCACAGGGGAAAATGCAGCATATGTGCTTTTGATGCAAGGCGGAAAGATGTATGGAACGCCACCGTTTAATGCAAGAATAATTCTAAAGTTTTAAACCACAGCCAGGGCTCAGATATTCGTTTTATCGAGGGCACAGACCTCTAGGGTATCCCATTCTGCAGTTCTGAGCTCCAGGCAAAATGTGATGGAAGAGGGAGCAGTAGGACCAAATTAGACATCAGAAGCCAAATCCTGCAGCGTCCCAGCGGCTCCGCAAAACAGGGTCTCCCCTGCCCCCATTATTGCTAGCCCTGAGCACGGGCTCCTTCTGTGAGGCAGCTTTTTCTAGTAAACACATCTCCCTCTCCTTTGGAGCCTTTAGGGCTGCAGTTACCTGCTTTGGCGTTTTATCCCTTCGGAAAGCAGAGTTGGGTGCCACCTTGTGGCCGAGGGTCGCCATAGCAACGGCGTGCTCCCCGCATCCCGCCCCGCCCAGGGCCAGGGTTGCCTAGGTGCAGAGGCTGTGGGTTGGCGTGCAGAGACAGGTGTCACGTTGAGGACTGAACCGTCACTGGTCGCCCCAGAGTAGGGCCCGGAGAGCGTTTTCCTGGACTCTCTCAACCTCTATAATTTCATCTCTAGGCACCATTTTGCCCCCTAGATAATAAACAGATTTAGGGTGGTGACCTAAGAATGACAACCCGTGCAGCCCGGGGGGGCGCCAAACTGACGTCTAGTGAGCCTCCCAGGAAAACGGAAATGGCAAAGACCGGGGGCCAGGAGGTGCAAATTCACGCGTGATTACGCCTGGCACCTGACTGCAGGAAACCTGGTTGAGCGCCTTCCCGACTCGGTTTCTTCCTCATAACCCTCCTATAGGATTATGTCCCATGAGTGGGGAAACTGAGGCACAGCATGATTGAGGAAGCTGTCTGAGGCGTTGCAGAGCCTGTGGGAGTAATGAGTCAGGTTCCGATCCTAGAGCTGGCTCTGAAGCATACCGTATTTTTTAACCTTACTTTCCTTTTATAAGTTTTATCATGTCAATATGGGAGAGAGGAGCGACGAACCTAGCCAGACGGCTTGATGTACTTTGATGGTAGGTCAAGCTCAGCCTCCCTGAAGCCCTTGATATGTATGTTGCCCGCTAAGTCCCTGTGCATTCTCATTTTTTCCCATCTGACTTGGTTTATAAAGGCGTTTGAAAGATAACAGCTACCTTAGCATCGTCACTTTGCCGTTCATTCATGCTGGTCTGTGTAAGAGCTGTTCATTCTTTGCTATTATCGAGGGCTGTTCCTTTACCCATTCTCTTGGTGATAGAAGTTCAGATTCCAGTTGGCTCTCTGTATGCCTAGGTTCTGTATTCTCTGATGTGACTGTGGGTTGACTTATAATCGGGCCTTTGTAGCACACTGCACTGAGCGGGTACAGGCTTATTCTATATACAAGGACACAGTGCTTGGGTAGTGTCTTATTGCATAATATGTGCAACGTATGCAGGCTTGTTCTTGTCACCATTGCCTAGGCAACATAGCATAACAAATATTTGCATAGCATTGCCAAGGGATGACCAAAATACACAGTGGATATTTAAACCTTTAGAATGATTCCAGTAGAAGACACATTGCCATGACTCCCCTCGAAGTCCTCCCTGTCCCTTCAAACACACCTGTCCCATTTCTCCTGCCACTTTCTGAAGTGGTTCAGAAGTCCTCTTCTGTATCTTTATGAGGCCTGATAAACGATTTGGTGAGTGCTGCTGCTGGAAACCACCCAGATCTAAGCAGGTTTGCGAAATCATGTCTCTGGGACCTCATCCTTATTCACTGGATCTGGCATCATGTGGCCCTGGCTCTGCCCTCATGTCAAAATTCCCACAAAAAGTAAACACTTTGAATCCATTTAGGACAGCAAGGTTGCCATGACAGAGCAACTAAAGACACTCATGAAAGAGTACTTCCAGAGTTGCTCCAGAAGGTGGAGAGAATAATGGGATAAGTGTGTTTGTCGCACTGTGCCTGTGGTATTAGATACTCTGAGTCATCCAGAGATGATCTGAAGCACACAGGAGGATACACATAGGT